CAACACCCGCAAACATCATGGCATTGAGAAACCACACCCACAAAAATCACAACATCGAGAAGCCGTACCCAGAAACATCACAACATCGAGAAACCACACCCGCAAACATCACGGCATCGAGAAACCACACCCACAAACATCACAACATCGAGAAACGACACCCACAAACATCACAACATCGAGAAACCACACCCGCAAACATCACGGCATCGAGAAACCACACCCACAAACATCACAACATCGAGAAACCACACCCACAAACATCACAACATCGAGAAACCACACCCACAAACATCACAGCATCGAGAAACCACACCCACACCAACATTCATCGACAAACATCACAACATCGAGAAACCACAACCACACCAACATTCATCCACAAACATCACAATATCGAGAAACCACACCCACAAACATCACAACATCGAGAAACCACACCCACAAACATCACAACATCGAGAAACCACATCCACAAACATCACAACATCGAGAAACCACAACCACACCAACATTCATCCACAAACATCACAACATCGAGAAACCACAACCACACCAACATTCATCCACAAACATCACAATATCGAGAAACCACACCCACGAACATCACAACATCGAGAAACCACACCCACAAACATCACAACATCGAGAAACCACAACCACACCAACATTCATCGACAAACATCACAACATCGAGAAACCACAACCACACCAACATTCATCTACAAACATCACAACATCGAGAAACCACGCCCACAAACATCACAACATCGAGAAACCACACCCACAAACATCACGGCATCGAGAAACCACACCCACAAACATCACAACATCGAGAAACCGTACCCACAAACATCACAACATCGAGAAACCACACCCACAAACATCACGGCATCGAGAAACCACACCCACAAGCATCACAACATCGAGAAACCGTACCTACAAACATCACAACATCGAGAAACCACACCCACAAACATCACAACATCGAGAAACCACACCCACAAACATCACAACATCGAGAAACCGTACCCACAAACATCACAACATCGAGAAACCGCATCCACAAACATCACGGCATCGAGAAACCACACCCACAAACATCGCGGCATCGAGAAACCACAACCACACCAACATTCATCCACAAACATCACAACATCGAGAAACCACACCCACAAACATCACAACATCGAGACACCACACCTACACCATCATCGAGAAACCACACCCACAAACATCACGGCATCGAGAAACCACACCCAGACCAACATCGAGAAACCACATCCACAAACATTAAAACATCGAGAAAGCACAACCACAAACATAACGACATCGTGAAACCGCACCCACACCAACATCGAGAAACCACAACCACAAACATTAAAACATCGAGAAACCGCACCCACAAACATCACGACATCGAGAAACCACAACCACAAATATCACAACATCCACAAACATCACAGACAAACATACTTGTAGTATTGTGTATTCCATCGGCCATAACCGACGTTCCATGGCAGGAGTACATAGACATACACAGTTCAAATGCGTGGAATGAACGCCGATCATTTTAACAATACTAAACCGTTCGTTTATTAAATAGCGTCAGGTAAATATAACTAGCCAGCTGACACTTCTCTAATCATCACTCACAATATATAGTGAGTAAATAAAGTATATGGAAGATATACACCACACACATATACCTTACACTGAAACGGACACACATACTTAGAAGGCATTTAGAAGTTGGACGAACACGTATGCATGACACGTTTTATGGATTTCAACTTTCAATATTTTTGTACGACGATTAAGAGTTAATTCTTGGTCCTTCGACGGGTGAATACTGAGTCAGTGCACATAGTGAATATATATAGATAGAACATGTTTCTTCTTACATTGTTATACCGTTAATCTCATTGTCTTCGTCTTTACATTGTAAGCTGTGTACATTAATCCTATCTCATCAGCTTCGTGATTATATTTTTATCTTTGTACATTCTCACATCCTGCGTTGTGCAACCCCTCTCTACACGCATTATCACATTCACCATGTGTCATGTGCACACAACGCACAAAGAAATACAAACACACACACACACAGAGAGAGAGAGAGAGAGAGAGAGAGAGAGAGAGAGAGAGAGAGAGAGAGAGAGAGAGAGAGAGAGAGAGAGAGAGAGAGAGAGAGAGAGAGAGAGAGAGAGAGAGAGCTAGTACTAACCACCAGCAATACATATTTCCAAATGCCCTCCGTAGAGTGATTACCAGATAAACAGTTCGCATTGTACTAGTTAAATAACAGTTCCTGCCCTTCGAAGAACGTAACCAGAAATATAACAATAACAGGATATGGTTTTATTGATTTGATGTCGAACGTCAGTCAGTACAACCAACAAGACAACAGGTCCTATAGGTCAACAAAGGTCCTGTAGGTCCCAGCATGTGAGGGACAACAAAGGTCACGTAGGTCCTATCGGGCCCAGCATGTGGGGGACAACAAAGGTCATGTAGGTCCCAGCATGTGAGGGACAACAAAGGTCCTGTAGGTCCTGTCGGGCCCAGCATTTGGGGGACAACAAAGGTCATGTAGGTCCTAGCATGTGGGGGACAACAAAGGTCCTGTAGGTCCTGTCGGGCCCAGCATGTGGGGGACAACAAAGGTCATGTAGGTCCTAGCATGTGGGGGACAACAAAGGTCCTGTAGGTCCTGTCGGGCCCAGCATGTGAGGGACAACAAAGGTCCTGTAGGTCCTGTCGGGCCCAGCATGTGGGGGACAACAAAGGTCCTGTAGGTCCTGTCGGGCCCAGCATGTGAGGGACAACAAAGGTCCTGTAGGTCCTGTCGGGCCCAGCATGTGGGGGACAACAAAGGTCATGTAGGTCCCAGCATGTGAGGGACAACAAAGGTCATGTAGGTCCTGTAAGTCCCAGCATGTGGGGACAACAAAGGTCCTGTAGGTCCTGTAGGTCCCAGCATGTGAGGGACAACAAAGGTCCTGTAGGTCCTGTAAGTCCCAGCATGTGGGTGACAACAAAGGTCCTGTAGGTCCTGTCGGGCCCAGCATGTGGGGACAACAAAGGTCCTGTAGGTCCTGTCGGGCCCAGCATGTGGGGGACAACAAAGGTCATGTAGGTCCCAGCATGTGAGGGACAACAAAGGTCATGTAGGTCCTGTCGGGCCCAGCATGTGGGGGACAACAAAGGTCATGTAGGTCCCAGCATGTGGGGACAACAAAGGTCCTGTAGGTCCTGTCGGGCCCAGCATGTGAGGGACAACAAAGGTCCTGTAGGTCCTGTCGGGCCCAGCATGTTGGGGACAACAAAGGTCATGTAAGTCCCAGCATGTGAGGGACAACAAAGGTCATGTAGGTCCTGTAAGTCCCAGCATGTGGGGGACAACAAAGGTCATGAAGGTCCCAGCATGTGAGGGACAACAAAGGTCCTGTAGGTCCTGTAAATCCCAGCATGTGGGGGACAACAAAGGTCATGTAGGTCCGAACATGTGGGGGACAACAAAGGTCATGTAGGTCCGAACATGTGGGGGACAACAAAGGTCATGTTGGTCCGAACATGTGGGGGACAACAAAGGTCATGTAGGTCCGAACATGTGGGGGACAACAAAGGTCATGTAGGTCCGAACATGTGGGGGACAACAAAGGTCATGTAGGTCCGAACATGTGGGGGACAACAAAGGTCATGTAGGTCCGAACATGTGGGGGACAACAAAGGTCATGTAGGTCCGAACATGTGGGGGACAACAAAGACAAAACGCATGGAGAGTGAAGGCCAATGTCACTACACTGTTGCCTCTCTTCACATTCTGTTACCTTCCACTTGTTCAAGATGTCAATATTCTTCAAAAGACAGATTGGTCGTAAACGACAGTATACACCGGCATGGTCTAGTGAACAGAGCGTCTTATGAAACACTTGGTTGTGCATGCCTGATCTATACAGTTCTATCTGATAACCGATCGATCACTTCTGTCTATTAGTCACATGGCAAGTACAGCAGTACCCCACAGATTAACGGGTGGTTAAATACAAGCGAAGAGCATGTCCTGAATAACTATCAAATATCTATGATACCAGCTGTTAACACAAAGGTGAGGGTAACCTGCCCTAGTGATGTCACCCGTTACAGGAGGCAAGTCAAGTGACAATGCACCTGATACAAAACGTCAAAGCAGTATCTGGAGTTGTGTGGAGGATTGGATGTTCTGTGGTTCAGGTGCTCTGGGGTTCTCGGGTGCGTATGTTCTGGGGTTGTGGGACTCTGGGGTTCAGGAACGGATGTTCTGGGGCTCTGGGATTCAGGGGCGGATGCTCTGGGATCAGGGACGATGTTCTGGGGTTCTGGAATTCAGGGGCGGATTTTCTGGGGTTTTGGTAAGTGCTGATCTGTGGATCTAGGGTTCTGGGGTTCTGGGATTCCATGGATACACAGATATGGAGCAAACTTCGGTTTTCCGACTTCACCCACGGCCATAGTTTGTGCAATGTGTACTGTGGTTAAGCTGATGGTTCACATGACATGGATCGATTAATCACATCCACGTAGTGTGGTCGAAATACACGCGCTAGTGAGCTTGTCGAAACAATGCCAGCAATTATATACAGCCCCTTGTTGAACAATAAAGATTACGTAGATAGTGCATATATATCATGTACAACTACAAGTTTACACGCCTTCCCACTGAACCGGGTATTGGCTACCCGTTGTGTTATATTAAAACTCCAACCTGTGTATTATACAGACATATCAACTAAAGACTGCCAGCTGGTTGCATATGTTGTCACTTTCAAGTGCCATGTGTAAAACAACGGACGTCTAGTTCACAGTTTTCAGGAACCTATCCAGCCATGCAGTTGACAAACGTGTGTGTAGGATATCCACGTAACTACGTAGGTGGCAGTGCGTATATAAACGTGGAAACTGTTAGACAAAATGTCGATATTTTCAAAAAGAAGGAAGCAAACTTCACTGCGACTTACCGTGGATTTCCTGACCCGGGCGACGTGTTGCCAACCACCCTGATAATAGAGACCTAGATATTCGGGTTGATAAGACGGTGATAGTCGTGGCAAACCGCGCGACTCGCACGCAACCGGGGAAGTCAAGCACACGTTTCTCACATTTAACGATAGGATAACGCACTCAGTCAATGCTTGTCTCACAGGGAGATTACTGAATATGACTAAGGAAATTAAGAACTATGACACGATCAACCATATTTGTGTTGTTTCAACGTCTGTGTATCCGAGGTGAGGCCGGGTGTGCTGTGCGCCCTGCAGTATGCCAGCTGTATGACGGCGGTCTATAAATATGGACTTCTGACCAGACAATTAGGGTACAATGACACGATAAGGCAAGTCTCACTACCCAATAGTTTTCTTGTACGATAAGCAGGTTTCTGTAGATTAGTTCTTGTCGTACCTCTAGAGAGGATGAACAGCCAATCAGTGAAAGCGGGATTCCTTGCAAGTCACAGGTGTACCCGACTCACGGGTTAGATGCAGTTGTAACATATATTATATTTGGGATTACACTTTCTCAGTAAAGTACAGATTCTAGTACTTTTGTTTGGGTTGAGTCCCATTTGGGATTCGAACCCATACCCTCAGAGTTAGGTGCCAGAGATACATTTCCCTAATGTCACAGAAACGTTTTGTCAGAAAGATATGGTCAGAGACAAGAATTGAAAAGAAACCAATGGATTAACTTCATAATTTTTATTATTAACTTATAAGTATCTCCACACTAGAACACATTCACATCCCCTCGAAATAAGTCAACACACAGCGGTAACTCGAGACTCGAGTTCCGTGTATAGTTCAAGTTATCAGGGAAATAGAGAGGCAAGATAAGATAAGAAAAAGGCAAGAATTTGCCTGATCCTGAGGTGACATCGAGTTAGTCATGGTGAAGCTGCACCTACATTCTCACCACCATGTAACAGTGCAGAGCATTCATATGTACACGCTTGTCTTGTATGGCATCGTTGGTGTTATATAAACCTGAAAACACAGAAACACCTGCCATCAAGTACATTCCGCACTCAGATAGTTAGGTCAGTAGAAACGTAAACTTAAATGAACGATGTGTGGATTTAAGCCTCAAGATGCCAGCCTTCACTAGCCACGTCAACCTGACGGTCTTGGGCGGCGCACCAGGAAGAAGACAGAAACAAGAAAGTGTGTGTAGAGGAGATAATTTAGAGGATTTCTGCAACATTCAGAACTGCTCGTGTACATTATATATTTTGGCGACAAATGTAACAGCGTTGTATAATAGTCTTGGACACACCAAACACCTTGCAGGTAGAGTAGACTTGATTACACCTTATCCCTTCTCCATACAAGAAGGATGGATAGACCGTGTACAACACCCATAAAGAGAGTTGTGTGAACCAAATACCTTCCCCATGTCAAGAGTTGATATACCGCATACATTCGGCATCAGGAAAGTTGGGTTAACCCACTACTTTCCCCATATAGAGAGTTGGGTAAACCCACTACTTACCCCATATAGAGAGTTGGGTAAACCCACTACTTTCCCCATATAGAGAGTTGGGTTCACTTTAAAACGTTCAGTACACAGAGACATTGGAACACGGTGCCTGGCGAGATAATTGGAGAACAGTCCGGGTTCCTGGAGTCTGGGGCAGCCCAGTGTCCTTATAGTCACCTCAAAACATCAGGGGAAACTACAACTGATCCTTCTCTTCATTCTAACCATAAAGGACATCGTTCCAATAATCCACATGAGAAACACTGGTGGAATTAAGTTATTTTCAAAAGTAACTGATCTCAGTGTTAAGGATAGCCCAAACATGGTGCGTGTCACTGTGAAACCGAAATATATCAATATACAGTATTTTACAGGCGCATCATTCTGAAACTCACTTACTTTATCCAACATCAGACTTCACTGACGAGTGTAGCACCCATTGTTGTTAAGCACCAAGTCTCGTGTATGATTCATCTCTCTTGTGGTGCCTCCAGCATGCCTTCAGCAAGGTATACACGTGTGACCAGTCATTTTAGTAAAAACAAATCTTAAAAGTTTATGAAAAGTGAAAGATATACTCTTCCCGTCTTCATTTCCATGTTGTGTTTACTTGAAACAAACCCCCGTTTATACGGACAGTCACAGAATTCAACAGTTTTGTTACAACATCTTTATTACATCATGATTGCACGTTTACACAGAATAAAGGAGTGAGTGAGTGAGGCTACCCCACCAACCCCACAGAATAAAGGAACATGATGAAATAATACCGCCTGTTTAACATTGTGGGGTTTCCGGACTCCCGATATCAGCACTGACGAGGTTTAACTGTACAAAGGCATTGATCGTTGTCTTCAGCAGTGGCGTTCAGTAAGTTTCGTAAATGAGTGAGGGAAAGATACTTGACGTGGCATTCACTACTAGTCCTTCTACACCCACATAGCCTGTAGGTTATCGAGACCGACCCCGGCACAGGAACAACTTTCAACACCATCGGAGAATGATGACAGACTGTCACGGAATCATACGATCCTCACTTTGCTGGTTCTCGTAAACATTTGAATGGGTGAGTATGGTTGTACGTCGCCTGACTCTCCTTTAGTAGTAATTCGGGGTGGTGGGGTAGCCTAGTGGTTAAAGCGATGCTTGTCACGTCGAAGACCCGGGTTCGATTCCCCACATGGGTACAATGTGCAAAGCCCATTTCTGGTGTCCCCCGCCGTGATATTGCTGGAATATTGCTGAAAGCGGCGTAAAACCCAACTCACTCATTCGTAGGAATTCGCAACGGACGACACAAGAACGCTCTCCACACATTGTACCCAGGCGAACCAGTTTTTCGTTAGGTCAAGCGAGCGCTTTAACCACGCTATCCCACACATGAGCCGTTGGGAACTATCTGCCTTTAAGTGAGTGAATAAAGATTACGGCTGTTTGAGCAATAGCAGTGTCGGGGGCCATGAAATGGGCTCAACACTTGTGCAATCAGCATATGGAGTCTCTGGGATTGGACAGAAAGATGTGCAGAGTGGTAACGCCAGCCGTGTGCTTGGAGAGGCAGCGGGGCACTGGGTCCAGGAAATACTGAAAAACAACATAACATTTCTGAGTGACTTTCGTTTGACAATGGTTTAGATTTGCACATGACTCAGTTTCACTGAAGTACAAATCTGTGTCCTCGCCACCGTTACCTGCAAATCTAGGACTAGATGAGGCGATTGATCTTTCAAATGTGCAGTCCCCACTATCTGGAACAAACTTCGTCTTACTTTACTTACCCTCTGTACAGGCTTTCCGCCGCCACCTTTAAAACACACTTATTCTCCTCACAATGATGTGTTATGGTACCAGAAACTGACATTACAATAATACAGCTCCCGTGAGCAGCCTAGCTGGAGCTCGGCGCTATATAAATAGATTGCCATTATAATTAACAAAGATCTGAGGTCACCCTGGCACGGGTCACGTCTGACTTTGAGAAGTGAACTAGAAACATAAATGGAGCGAGCATTGCATTTTACTCCCCAAGGTAAAACTTTGCTAGCATATCTTAGACGACTGGTCAACTCTTGTCTTCTATTTCTATTTCTTGTTCCGGAATATATCATTAAGAGTATCATGGCCTGTAGCTTTCTGCGGGACGTTCATTGCGAAATATAATCTCAGTTCCAGCTACCGCTATTTACCAAAGACCAGCAGACATTGCACGACGGGTCACGTCAGACCGACCATTCATCTAACCAATCAGAGGGTTAACTAAAAACGTGAACTTCGGGGTATTTCGAACGCGGGCTACAGGCTTTAATTTATGACTGTTTCTTTGTATCGATATGGTATATTTTGTGCACAGTAATATAATCATTTGGATAGGAAGATTTTCCACAGTAAGCACTGGAATACAATCAAGCCCGGGAATATTTTAGACATTGCAGTTTTCTCTTGTTCACTTTTTCAGATTTTGATTCGAGAACTTTGTCAAACTATATTTAAAACACAGTTTGGAATGGAGGTTGTTAAGGACAGGTGTGTCAAAGGTGTGAAAGTTTCTGATTGATTAATGTAGAGTTTCCTACTGGTCATGTCATTGGTCGCTTAAGTTCGCTAAAAGACTTTCTGACGTCACCTATAACGGGATTTCCTTAGACCTTGGTGTAGAGGTGTCGAGCTTTAAGACCTGAGTTTAATGAAATTGCAAATGGCCTACAGTGTGTATTGGTGTAGTCTGGACCTTACCTGGGAGGTCGCATGGTTTCGATAATTTTAGACTCCAGGAGCACGATCGCTAGTGGACACATCCGCGCCGTCGGTACGACGATCAGTTATTTCAAACATTGTAACAACCCGGTCTTCATTGGTCGCTAGTCCACCCCAGTGGGGATACCCAGTGGGGATCAGTTTACATTGTCATATAAACAACTCCAAGCGGACTGCGGGGTAGAAGTATTTCGTCCCGAGGCAAGGGGAAGAAGACGATAGATCAGGTGTGACAACGTGCTTGACAGCATCTTCTCGTACTCCAGCAAGTATATAACATATAATATAAGTTACTGGATTGTCTGGTCCAGATTCGATTATTTCCTGGTTGTCTTAATAGTGCCGAGTTGAACCACAAAGAAGTCCCTAGGCACTCTCAGAACAAGTATGGAATATTTGGTTTTCATCAAAGGTGATTAAAAACGCAACTTACCCCAAACGCGCGATTCGGTGGATATTCAAAGCGGGGAGAGGCTATGGTAGTCATGAAAGACCACCCGAATGCGTCAAGTCGGCCGCCATTATACAGCAGGAAGACTGGGAAGAAGTTGTCACAGGGTGCATCCAACCGGGCGTCATACCAGTAGTGTTGACCTGTGGTGGAGGATGTAGACTCGTATACACCACGCTGATATAGACTAGTATACACCACACTGATATAGACTCGTATACACCACACTGATATAGACTAGTATACACGACACTGATATAGAATCGTATACACCACACTGATATAGACTCGTATACACCACGCTGATATAGACTCGCATACACCACGCTGTATACGACACTGATAGACTCGTATACACCACACTGATATCGTATACACCACACTGATATAGAGTATACACCACACTGATATATCGTATACACCACACTGATATAGACTCGTATACACCACGCTGATATACACCACACTGATATAGATCTGATATACACCACACTGATATAGACTCGTATACACCACACTGATATAGACTAGTATACACCACACTGATATAGACTCGTATACACCACACTGATATAGACTCGTATACACCACACTGATATAGACTCGTATACACCACACTGATATAGACTCGTATACACCACACTGATATAGACTCGTATACACCACACTGATATAGACTCGCATACACCACACTGATATAGACTCGTATACACCACACTGATATAGACTAGTATACACCACGCTGATATAGACTAGTATACACGACACTGATATAGAATCGTATACACCACACTGATATGGACTCGTATACACCACACTGATATAGACTCGCATACACCACGCTGATATAGACTCGTATACACCACACTGATATAGACTCGTATACACCACACTGATATAGACTCGTATACACCACACTGATATAGACTCGTATACACGACACTGACATAGACTAGTATACACCACACTGATATAGACTCGTATACACCACGCTGATATAGACTCGCATACACCACGCTGATATAGACTAGTATACACCACGCTGATATGGGCTCGCAAAAAACACGATAATGTGGACTCGTATACACAGTAAGACGTCATAATTTCATGACCAAGTTACCGAAGCGGTGTGCCATGCGTTACTTTCGAACTACGGAGGTTCTACTGTTCAATATACATACATATGCAAAAAAGTATCGCAACAACTCTGATTTTAACCCACAAACCTACGTCACTGATATACAGGGGCAGTACACCTCGAGAATGGGCGAGAATTCTAGTCGGTAGCAACCTTGGCCCGCCTTGAGTCCAGATCTCAACCCCATAGAGATTGTTTGGGACATCAGAGAGATCGTCCAGTACAAACTCTTGATGCATTGAAAATAAACCCTCCACCAAGAATGCCACGAAATACCTCAGTCAGTTATGAGGAGGGTCAGCGATAAGTTTGCAATGGCGGAGGTTACACCAGATATTGACAATGACCAATTTCAGTTGATTTCGGACCTTGCTGATAGCCCTGGAATAGCCCTCAGTGACATGTCAGCAGTCCACATACCAATAACCTGCTGCCATATATGACCAGTTGCCAGCACAGGAGGCACCATATTTGCTTTAGTTTTGATATTTATGTGATTTCCTGAGGCTGGCATGCCAGTATCTTGAAAATGACCACGCTATTACCACAACATCATTATTTAATATGCATCTGTTCGCAATGAATTAATATTAGATTTACATAGAGATTTTTTCTGGGTTACATCTTCTTTTGAGAATAAAAAGAAGATGTAACCCAGAAAAAATCTCTATGTTCATCAAATATCATCTTCTAAAATGCCAATCAAGCATCTAAATATTAGATTTATTCCTTGCATGTTAGAAATGATATGCGTGATGCAATGATTGTATATACTTATCTATGTTTATATGTTTATCCTGAAATTGGCGCTTATTGTGTAAACATGTGTTTCAGGGTGTCTGTCAATAAAGAAATAGATCTCACAACCCGTAACCAGTGTCTGGTCCTCTGTATATCCATACACAACCCGGTTACATTAACGTCATATGACCAAAGTTATCAGCACTACAAAATGAGTAAATGTCTCCGAATAAACTAGAGTGTTTCGTTCTTATTGAGTTTATATTCGCCACTTAATTATTCTTTGACGGTCAGTTTATCCAGATAAAAAGAAAAAATTGAGTTCCTTTCTTCTGGTTAATGGTAACATATTTATACTATGAACAACACTGTACCCATAGTGGTATAACAGCGTCCCTTGGTCCACAATGTTCCGCTCAAACCACTCTCCTGCCGAGGAACTCTATGACTGTCGTTGGGACTGGTGTTGGTCTGGATCCACAAGTCCGTCCCAGTTCCTTCCATAGCAAACTGTTTGGCCGTTCTCCCTGTGCTGCAGAGGGAGCCTAGATAAACAAGTTACACATGTGTGGGATGTAGTACAAGTGTGTGGGATGTAGTATGACAAGTGTGTGGGATGTATGGACAAAAGTGTGTGTGTGATGTAGAACAAAATGTGACAAGTGTGTGTGATGTATGACAACAAGTGTGTGTGATGTGATGATGTATGAACATGTGTGTGATGTATGACAAGTGATGTAGAACAAATGTGTGTGAAAAATGTGTGTGATGTAGAACAAATGTGTGTGATGTAGAACAAGTGTGTGTGTGATGTAGAACAAGTGTGAATGTGTGTGATGTATGACAAGTGTGTGTGTGATGTAGAAGTGTGTGTGATGTGAACAAATGTGTGATGTATGACAAGTGTGTGTGATGTAGAACAAATGTGTGTGATGTATGACAAGTGTGTGTGATGTAGAACAAATGTGTGTGTGTGTGTGTGATGTAGAACAAATGTGTGTGTGATGTGATGTAGAACAATGTGTGTGATGTGACAATGTGTGATGTAGAACAAGTGTGTGTGATGTATGACAAGTGTGTGTGATGTGACAAGTGTGTGTGTGATGTAGAACAAGTGATGTGATGTAGAACAAATGTGTGATGTGTGTGTGATGTAGACAAATGTGTGTGATGTAGAACAAGTGTGTGTGATGTATGACAAGTGTGTGTGATGTAGAACAAATGTGTGTGATGTATGACAAATGTGTGTGATGTAGAACAAATGTGTGTGATGTATGACAAGTGTGTGTGATGTAGAACAAATGTGTGTGATGTATGACAAGTGTGTGAGATGTAGAACAAATGTGTGTGCTCTAGGACAGGTATGACAAATGTGTGTGCTCTAGGACACGGTCGTGTGCTCTAACACCAGTGTGTGTGTTCTACGACAAGTGTGTGTGATCTAGGACAAAACTGTGTGAGATCAATAGCAATTATAAAGAGGGTGAAGGTTATGAATGTCAATTCTGCAATGTGGGGAACAACGTTGACCTGATAAAACAGTAAGAATGTAACTAAGTAGTACACGTGCACCAGCGGTACAGTATTCCACATGGAATGTGAATGAACGGTGGTATAATTCCAGAAAGCTTGAGCTCTTGGAGTTATTACCCACGGTTCCCAAACTATGATGTATTTCTCCTGACAATATTTCATAGACGTGCATAAAGCAAAATGAGTGTTACTTGGTTCCACAAAATAGGCTGTGATGTACTGCTTGCCGTTGTACTCCACAAATGGCTCGTTCAACAGGCTGGCGTGGGGGTACCCGTTGACGCTCTCAAACTAGACGTAAAACAAGTAGGGAATAAAACGCTTGTGTCGAACTTATATCATTCATGCATTACTTCGGCACACATAAATTTGGTATATCATGTAAAATAAATGTTCTAGTGAGGGAATGTAAATTTCATATTCAAACAGGCAATCTACATTTCACTTCAGTAAAATACGACGAGGTAACCAAGCATGTAGAAGTTGTACTTGAAGGCTGAGGTTACTGTCACGTGGACATTGTTCACCCACACATCGATACATGCTTTTTACGATTGTTTTTAAATATGTTTATATCATCATTACACCCTACCAGTCAACTGGCAATTGCATCTACATGATGAGAGATGACTAATGCGAATGTTCTGTGTATAACTCTCAATATCCACCCGATATCATTGCTATAGTCGACAATCTTAGGAAATACCGAATTCAGAAAGGCATCACTTTTATCGTTTCGGTGAGATTTCACATCACCACAGGGAAATTGTGAAATGGCGAGCCATGGTAATGTTTGAATCCGCGGTGTGACGTCATACGTCGCTTCAGTGACGACGACATTAATAACAGAACAACCACGTCAAGTCGATTCAAGTCTTCACGTAAGGACTAAACAATACAGTGTTTTTTATCTAGGATGATCCCTAAGAAATTGCATACTGAATATTTGCAAACTAGCATTTGTTAATAAGAAGGAGCAATAATGATAACGTTATGTTTGATGCATCACATTCTCAATGGCATTGTTTACAATAGTGTATATGGTATTATCATAAAGTCATAGCGCTCAGAACATTATTTTAACATCTTAAACTACATCGAAAACTGTACCCTAGGCCTCCTGGCCTTGAAATACAATAAACTTCCGTTCTGTTCTGTTCTGTTTGATGCATCATTGTGGGGCTAGGCCAATAACAGACTAATAACAAACATATGTATAACTGTTTAAACGACATTACGCATGACTTCCTATCATGCTTTGCCCAATGGCATGACGACATCTGAGCGCGCTGGGTTCGGGGAATGTACCTGCTCAGATGTGTGTTTGTTTGTTCTAGAATGAGAGGCATTCTAGAAGTTGTAAGTAATAGAGATGACAAGTCTTTATCGATAACCAACTTCTTTATTGTACAATGGCGACGTGTATAGAAACGGTATACCGAAACGTCGCCATTGCACAATACAGAAGTGAATCCTCCATAAAGACTTGTCATCTCTGTCTGTTTGTTGTATACCGCTGCACCCCAATAGTCCAGCTGTATGACGGCTGTCGTTGAATAATGGAGGCTGGGCCATACATTCAAGTGATTGACATCATGAGCATCGATGTGCGCTACTGCGATACGATAACAGGTATTAAGCAAGAAACCTTGACCACCCGATCCCATTAGCCACCTCTTCCGACAAGCGGGGATTGCTGAAGACCAATTCGAGGCCGGATCTTCACTTGCTTTAAGCGTTTTATCGGTTAATATGAAGTAGAAAATGAAATCAAAGTTCTTACGTAATGTTCGAGAGGGACTAGTAACTCAACAGTTATGAAGCCAGGTACCCTGCTGGTAGTAATAACTGCAGGCTTGGATTTAACCTTTCACGACTGCAGTGACGTCTCACGGAGACAGCACACTAGTTGACACAATGTTATGTTAATGACTGTACATTCTACGTATCAATATTTGGTTGGTTTGTATTGATATGTCGCTCATAATATAAGTGATTGGATATGAGGTTTTGCAGCTCATTGTTTTGTGTACTACATGTTTAATGTGTTCACCAAGGAAAAGGTAATGAAGTAACATCCCTGTATCTTATGAAAACATATAATTGGATGCGTATACATAAGGCCGTACACTCACCCCTGCCTGTATGCCGGCGATGTAGCCGTTCACATCGTAGATGAGGACCACGGCAGTGTCACCGTCCTTTACATAACGTCTACCAGCGAACTTAGAAGTATCTGAAATGTACGAAATGTATTATGATTATTATTATTGTTTGCGTTGGACGTGTTGACCATTCGTCTAAGTTACCTCCCTTTGCCACGCCAGAAACCTGGTATGATTGTGGCTTCGATTGGAATTTCAGTTCCATGCTGGAGGTATTAACCAAAATGGTAACAGGTTTAACACCTGCATTACTTCGGTGTTTTCTCCGACATTAAGCTGACACGCTGTGATATAACTCGTATATCGACCTTCTCTATTGTATAAACTTAATTATACATCATGTATGATTTGGTTGTTAATGGTTTGTTGTTTAACGCCGCACTCAGCAATATTCCATCTATATGGCGGCGGTCTGTAAATAATCGAGTCTGGACCAGACAATCCAGTGATCAACATTATGAGCATCGATCTACACAATTGGGAACCGATGACCTGTGTCAACCAAGCCAGCGAGCCTGATCACCCGACCCCGTTAGTCGTCTCTTACGACAAGCATGGGCTACTGAAGACTAATTCCAACGTCCGAATTCCCCTTGTGCATAATGTTGTGTATCCATTTCTTGATAACGTTATTAGCGTCTACAAAGCGTGGCATCTATTACAATAAAGACGTTATTAATACATAAATCTTGTTGTTCTTCGTCAGACCAGCTTCTACATGCCTCAAAGAAACTCGTCTACTGTGCACATAGGCGTTAAACCCGACTCACCCACTATATATTAGTTGTATTAACATTTTTCATGTACTTGTAAGATATATAATTATTGTATCAGTGTGTTATAATAAGTCAGTACATTAAAACACAAGAAAATGTATATTTAAAAGCAGATTTAAGAGAGACATCAGATGGGTAACGCTTGACGAGAAAAAGGGGGAAATCTCCATGAGTAGACGCTCTCACAACAAGTGATTTACGTGTCTGTTTTGACCCTTTTAACAACAGTTACTTCTGCTACACACCTCCGCAGTCAGACACTTTGAGCCAGCCTTTCCTCAAGGCATCTGCTTCAATCCGGGGCATGGTGTCGAAGGCGATGTCGCTGTTGCTGTTTGGGGGAGCCCACGTCACTGGAGCATTTCACAAATATTTACTATGACTAACAAAGGTGTGATTGACATGTGATTGAAATATATGGTTAAGAAATCACTGAGCATCAACCACGGTATGAAGGCTACTACAGCGGAAGTATATACAGGTATGTAATGTCAGCCTGTTGTAACTGTTATGATACATTACAGATATATCACGGCGACATGTATAGGCAATATAGGCATTGTTACATACAGTTATATGACAGCAGGTTGTAATGAGGTATGTGAAACATAAAGGTATACCTTGTAACGTTTCCCACTCCGGCGCTGAAAAACAAAATATGTTACTATTGTTAAAAACATCACGAATGTGAAACACTGTAAGTATCTGATCTCAAGACAAGAGTATGCACTTTTCTGTTAGTATAAACAGTGAAATATTTGAATAGTGATACTTTCAAAGGGATGACTATTTGACATCTGGCTGTGATTAACATTTGTGTGTATGTGTGATGTGCATGTGTGATGTGCGTGTGCGTGCGTGCGTGTGTGTACCTTTGATACACAACCTATGCTGAGTTATCGGAGGAGTGGTCAGTGCATATTTTGGGCAAAAACTTACCCTTCATGTCACTTGAAGCCGCCCACAGCAACAAGAACGTCGCATGGAGCAGCATGACGTCGACTTGCACCGTGTGTCGTCGCCTTGTTAAACGTAATGGTGAGAGAGGTTCTGTTCTATACTATTTTCTAATCCTTGTTCTATGAGCTGGGACGGTCAGCAGTCGATGTGGGTGTTCTGCTATAAAAGCGTGTGTGTTCTGCTATAAAAGCGAGCGGTCCTGACGTTAGCTGGCTGGCGTGCGGTTTCAGCGAGGCGTAACATTGGATCACCAATTATTTATATCTCAGTTAAGATTCTGATAATTTCCGGATTGTTATCAGCTCTTTAACGGCGGAATCCAATTACAACATTCCATATGCTCGTTCAGTTACCACAATTACAGATGCTGAACCTTTGTGGGCGCCTGTTGTTTCAACAGTGCTGACGACCACGGGTAGTGCTATGATGCTGACAAAGATCAGTGAGTGAACATGGTTTAGTTCCAAGGCGAGCAAGTGCTGAACCCACCAGGCCACCTCTTTGCTCCCTTTCTCAAAAGAATTCGTGCATACATGTTTTAGATATTATTTACAGTCTTATAGTGTGAATAACATTGCCCAGCCTTTGTTGTTCACATAACATAACATCGTTACTTTACATTGTTCAGCTTGTTAACACGTAAAGTTCAATGACAACATCGGATCCCCTACTTCAGTCAGAGTTCAATGACAACATCGGATCCTCTACTTCAGTCAGAGCTCAATGACAGCATGGGATCCCCTACTTCAGTCAGAGTTCAATGACAACATCGGATCCTCTACTTCAGTCAGAGCTCAATGACAACATCGGATCCTCTACTTCAGTCAGAGTTCAATGACAACATGGGATCCCCTACTTCAGTCAGAGCTCAATGACAGCATGGGATCCCCTACTTCAGTCAGAGTTCAATGACAACATCGGATCCTCTACTTCAGTCAGAGATCAATGCCAACATGGGATCCCCTACTTCAGTCAGAGTTCAATGACAACATCGGATCCTCTACTTCAGTCAGAGCTCAATGACAACATCGGATCCTCTACTTCAGTCAGAGTTCAATGACAACATGGGATCCACTACTTCAGTCAGAGATCAATGCCAACATGGGATCCCCTACTTCAGTCAGAGTTCAATGAAAACATGGGATCCCCTACTTCAGTCAGAGTTCAATGCCAACATGGGATCCACTACTTCAGTCAGAGATCAATGACAACATCGGATCCCCTACTTCAGTCAGAGATCAATGACAACATCGGATCCCCTACTTCAGCCAGTGTTTTACGACACATAGTACTGTGATTGACTTACAGTTAGTTATATAAACATTTCTCAGTTGTGTTATTTAATATATTTGTTACCACAAACTTTAAAATATAGTTCCGATCAGCATATTGAACTTTTTGTTTTGAGGATTACTTCTTCCAACTAAACAGCTGGATTCTCTATGGCATTCTGAGTAACCAGGTAGTATCACGTACTGCATCAATTTCCTATGCGTCCGTGGTACGAAACATAGCTATTGAAAAACTGACTTCACTATCCACGGATTACACAATGTGCACACTGGTTTTTACATTTATACCACTAAAGTCAATTCTTATAGATGAATCATACACTAATGATAATTTCCCAGACCGACAAATTATTCATTATTAAAACCCAAATTGTTGACAACCATACTAAATGAATGACATCGTTCAGTGCATTATTGGAACACATGCGACAAGACAAATGTCAACCAGTTCAATGTCAAGTTCAACCCCTATCACATCATTATCAGCCTATTATCAACTAGAACGAGGTCACGGCCAAGATCATGGTGCTTTCCTGGTCGTTGGCGCCAGGTGAAAGGTTCAACACACGGTTGATGAAGCTGGAATTTGAGAAGAAACCTGATGTCAACGAACACCCTTGGAGATACCCTGCAGTTGATTTTACAAGGTTCATTCCGGAAAGGAACCAAGGCCTGGTCAACTGATGGTGCCACCTGAGACGAAGGCTGAACCGAGATGACAGAAACCACGGAGCACAGAGCATGGCTGGTGTGTGGTTTATGTGTCGTCGGACAATGATGATGATAGCTTCTCACGGAACTTTCATTCTTGTGGCCACTCATGAACATGATATGTCTCAGCTCAAAACCAGCATAATTCATTGCTCGAATGCTCGTGGTGTGGAGACAGTGTACGTTTTTGAGCAACCTATATTTCGCGAGATTTCATTCATGAATCTCGAAAATTGATAGGGTTTACATTTTTTCCAAGTGCCAAGTGTATTTAAGTTTGAATTTGCAATTGCCTCTTTTCGACAGTGGTTAAACGGTGTTTCGCCAGTAGGACCTTATTTTGTTGTATTAAAAAGAGACAAACATTACCATTGCCGGTAGGGTACACCCGCTTATCGGATGCCTACTGTGGAGTCGACCCTGACAAATGTTCTGTTTTGTCTCGTGAGTCAGTGTCACATTCTTGTCACCAGTATCGTCCAATCAGAAGAGGACTAAGTTCATTTTCAGTTCTTTGTGAACATATGATTGATCTTCCTACCATACTCGGCGACAGAGGATAACAGGATTTGAGGTCGAAAGAAACTTGGAAAGGTGTTGTAAATCTTCTGGTGGAAATATATCTTTATGTTTCGCTGGTCTTCAAAGCTCATTTCCAGCACTGTAATTCCGTTTCCCGTCGAGAGTATTTGGCTGGTCTGAACGTTTGTTTCTCTAACAATGTTAATATTTCCCGAGAGAGAGTCAGTCTGTTTGTAGTTACATGTTCGAGTTGGCGTCCGTCGTAAAAAATACTTTGTTACCAAATCAATGCCACGTAATCACTTGCAATTTATGTTTATTCTTTAATAAGAACTGATTTTCACTCTGTGCGAGTTCACCACTTTAGTGTGAACCTCCATAGAGAGAGGGCCAGACTCTTGAAGTCACTAGTGTACGATGATGTTCATACCATGCGTGGCTGTCTACATAGTTTTTTAAACTTGATGATTTTACTGTCGCTTAGTTGACTTAGTAAATTAGTTGGAACAAAGACGAAACTGTGATTGCGGCTTATCTGTATCAGGTTTGAATTAGCAAGCAAATGTAGAAAAACCATTAGTTGCAGGTGTGGTGTTCAAGTCGAGCAATGTCACTCAAGATGTGTTGGATGTATGGTAAGGTGGCAGGGTCCTATCCCAGTGAGACAAAATGCCACAGTTAAACCCGGATACTCCGCTCAGACACACTTGTCTGACACAATCACCGGGTGTATATATAGTGATGTAAATCTAGAACTCCGTTCAAACTAACATTGGATACTTAAACAGGGAAAAATCGCGACTACCATTATTTAGAAATTAGAGGACAGCAATTATATGGTTCAGAAACTTTGAGTAACTACGCTAGACAGCAAATATTTTCCAGACTCACCAGAAAAACAAGGAATGGTACGCCGATATTGAAAGCAACCTCGAAAACTAAATGGTATTCTTACTCTGTTAGAACCTTTACATATTCGTACAGATCGACCCTGATAGCGTACCTTTCACAGTTAAAAATTTAACAAACACGGTCACACTTTGCCTTTAAACAGAATAATTTATTGAAAGTCAAAAGAACAGAACAGACTTATTTGGGTTCAAATGACCCACGCGACTTTAACAAATCAAAACAGATTTACTATAACTGGCACCGCGTGATTCAGGTCACGTGTCATTATGACCCACTCAGCAGAAGGAAAGGTAGGGGTCAGACATGTAGATATGCAATGTGGTTTGCCCATCCGTCTGGGCGTACAGACAGTCTGGCACAGGGTCCAGGAAATACTGTAAAGACGAAAATACAATACTCTAGTCAGTCTGTATGATGATAGTCAGACCACAGGCCTTTCATCGTTTAGTGGAGATATATTGAATAACACTGCACATCAGCTGTACACACCATTAACAAAGATCTCTCAAACGACGATCTGTCAATGATGTCATTATTGAGTGGCACATAATGTAAAATACGGGCTCATTTTAAAACGGTGTGCCATAACGCAGCCCACATGCACGTGAAGCTTGTTACCCGCGTGCTATCATGAAAAGCAGTGTCTTGTGAATATGCCATCCATACACGAACATGGCGAGGCGAGATGGCAGATGTTGGATATGCATGCAATTGACATGCCATTCAAGGCCATCAGTCGTCAGTTTGGTCACTGCCACTCTGTCATCAGTAGACTTATTAGGAAACACCATCAAGCAGGCGCTGTCCATGATCAGCCAAGGCCAGAGCAACCAGAGAAGACCACTCCAGCGGAAGGTCGCAACCTGGCCCGTAACGTGAACCCTTCGCAACGAGCACTTGTTTGAGGCAACTCTGGGTGTCCAACAGACAATTGTCAACCGTATCAAGGCCCTTGCTATGAGGTTCGAACCCCCCTGAAACATATTATTGTTCTAAAACAGGGCTGTGCTTTATTACGATCCATGTGTATATGTTACTGACGTACCCCAAAAGCTGTCCGAATTGGGTGTTCAAATCTTGTGGATGTGGTGATGTTGGTCAAGAAGGCCCATCCGAAGCCATCCAAGATACCTTCATTGTACAGTAGAAACATGGGGAAGAACTCATCACAACTCTGGTCCTTCCGCAAGTTGTACCAGTAGTGTACGCCTGCAACAGTAACAACACATAACATGTTTATAGGCCTACAGGCGTTTCACAGCTGATGCCATTTAACATTACCGATGAAATAAACCAACACATTGAACTTGACCCCTAACTACTTTACATTTCCAAGTCTTTCTTGTTCTGAAACGGAATCATCAACCCACCCATGGTTCTGAAGCAGTGTCCCTTCGTCCACAGTGTGGAGCCTATGTTCCTCTCCAGCTTAGGGATCTTGTCGCTGTCTGAGGGGCGTGTCCCGTTCTGGATGTACAGGTCACTTCCGGTGCCTTCGCTCTCAAACATGGCGGAGGTCCTTCCTTCACTGCATATATCACCTGAGAAAGGAATACATATGGCATATATACTCATTTACAGCAGAGATGAACGGTTGTGGACCAGACTGAAGTTTATTCAAGTGAACGGCATTTTCTAATACACATAGCAGCCCCCTTGTCTCAGGTGCCGATATTCTTTGCACTGAGTTGCAAAGAGCTCCAACGATTCCGCTCTAAGATCTACATGACCATATGTTGGTATAAACCCCATCTCCCTCACTCACTTGGGTCAGTGAAGTAGGCGGTGATGTACTGTTTCCCGTCGTGCTCCACGAAGGGGTGGTTCTGCATGGTGGGGGGCGGGAACTTGTTGGGCTGAGGGCCAATCTGGCAACACAACAAAATGACTCGATATTATCAAACGGTTGAGATATATTATGCAAATCTGTCTGAGGAAGAGGAGAGGAACAATGGTTAATATGTGATCTTCAGTTTGTACACTGCTTCAGATAACGAGTACAGGAGATCCAGTAAATAGAGACAACTTGTCTGACTTTCATTGTCTTGCGATATTCAGACAATCATTCGGGTCTCCTCGGCATATTCCGCCAAGCGTTGGAGCACTGTTGACATAACATGATTTATCGGTAAACACGCAAGACCAAACAGCACACATTGGGGCCATTCATACCAAGACCGATTTTGAAACGAGCGTAATGCAGTCTGCTTGACATATGAATCGTGTATACAACATTTTTTTATTTGAGAACATGGACCTGGTCGTACGCTCACCCCTGCCTGTATGCCGGCGATGTATCCCTTCACGTCGTAGATGAGGACCACGGCAGTGTCATCGTCCTTCACATAACGCTTACCAGCAAATTCAGGCGTATCTGGAGATGAATTGATATCAGTGTGTTAAATGTGGAGACACAACACGGTCAGAACTGATGGTTAATTGTTAGCAGGGCCTCGCAATCAGCTGATCGACAACAGATGGTGGTGCACAGACATAATCATGTATTTTACAGCGAGGCAATCACGGTGGCCTGCTCAACCTCAGTAGGGTCTTGATGAACACACAGATGACGATCCGGCCCCGGTGATACCTATGTCAGACTTACGAGAACAGTGATCCAGTACATTCAGACCAGTTAAGGTAACGCCGCATACACTGAACCGAATGGCGAAACCATGGTTACAATAAAACAATCTCAAGTTCCCATACAGGTAATCTCTCTGAAGTTAATCACCCTTCAAGTAATCTCTCAACTCGTGGCTATAGAAGTGCACGGGGCATATTTTAATAAAACATTACACGATGAATCGAATGAAACCAATGTACAGCTTCGAGAAAGGGCAGGGCAATGATGTTTAATGTCCTTAGACAGACAGCCATCACCATCGCTATAATGTTCCATTGCAGTGTCCAAGCGCCATGTTGGTTAAACCATCGAATATCAGTCTGAAGTCTTTTGAGAACATCATTCTTAAAGTTGCATGGGTCCATGCAGTAAACATTACAAGCATAATCAGTGTGGCTTTCCTAATTAACGGGGTTAAAGTTTACTGCCATGACAGTACCAAATCAGTGTCCATCTTGAATGACAGGGTACCCACCATAACAGTCGGACATCATCGTCCATCCCTCCAGGAGGGCCTGCTTCTCAGTCCGAGGCATGTCGGAGAAGCCTCGAGCACTGTTGCAGTCGCTCGCATCCCATGTCACTGAAATAAAACATCTTTAGATGGTTACCATGGTTACTTCGTATTTTGGGTTTTTTCTCCCTTGTGAGTTAGGTCAGAAGTAGTGAGTGTAGTGACTGAGTTGTATATACAATGTATATTTAAATATGTGGATTTATGATAAAGGGCACGTATGATAGATACCGAAAGTACAACGACTATAATGGATGATATAACACTACACCTTCCCGATAAGCTTTACAGCAATTTACAACCTTCAATAAAAGTGCTATCACACATCCTACACATTCAACAAAAAGGAAGTGCGCAATTGTTTAGAGTGATATATTGAGAAACAAGATTGTGTAATGAGTTTTTATTAGTAGTGGAAGTGAATAAACTGTCATACATACATGGTGCAACAGGCACAATCGTGATAAGATAACTAAGTCGTTAACAGATAAATATTAATGCATTAGCCTGAATAACAAGAACGCTTGTCGTAAGAGGTGAATACATGGACTGGTGGGCAGAAGGGCATCCGGTGAGGTGGATCGCTGCTCACAATATCATTCATTGGTTTGCCTGGTCCAGGCATGGCTGTTTGTGAACCGCCGTCTTAAAGCTGAATGCGACATTAAACAGCAAACAAAAACACAAACATGTCAAGACATCTGCTGTCTCTGTCCTCTCCTCTAAAGCCTTTCATCAAGGTACATAACGCCTTGTGTACAGTCATGAACTGCTATGCACATCATGTCATCATGTAGCGGTTGTCAGTAGCAGCAAATCACTGAAACGCTCGTAAAATATCGAGATTTGTCACTTTCTTGAAGGATGCCCTTTCCCATGTAATAGCAACCCGAGGGCGATTCCAGGTTTTCTGACTTGAAACACTGAATTCCTGCTAGCTTCTGATACTATTCCGGACTCAGGAGTGGAACACAGGCCTCCTTACAGATTCTCGACACTGACAAATTCTGGATTGGGTGAGTGCGCTGTCACATGTTATAGCGCCTGGTACTTAAACCTGCAGTGTTTAATTTGGTCCTAAATATTGTCTTTTTTTAATTACAAAAATACAACTTTGTATTTCAATATAATTCCATCTGTGTGTAGTCATTTATCGATTTCAAATTTAGTTCTGTAAGAACGGTTTCTGTGGTTTACCTTTGATTTTGAATTAGGGAATCAACTCGTAAACTATTTAATAATGGATATAACAGTTTTCCTTGACCTTTGGTGAATAAGGTCGAAATTCACAGTATCACATCAAGAGTAATAATAGATGACACGATTGCTGGGATAAACTTAACAGATTTCATACAACTCAGAGAAATCAAATAAAATTGAATCATTTATCATATACATTCCTGTTCAATAAACCCAAACAGAGAAGTTTGAAGAGAATTGTTGTTATTCATTCAGTACATGTTCATAATTAGCAGTTGAAAATATCTACCTCCCGATCTCTAAACAACGGAGCTGAATGTTATATGTCACATGCTGAATGTGAGCTCAGTCACCCAGTGAACCCCCTCCCCGAGGCTCCTCGTCCCTCGGTCCACTTGTAAATCGGCAAACGCCAAGACCAATGAGTCCACACATGACAGTCCTGAATTATCATACCGTGTGTGTGCCGCTATAGAACCTTACGCGGGAAACACTTGACGGTAAGAGTCGTACTACGCTTCCAGGTCTAGTTACAAAATAAACACTGCAGATACACGCAGTAGACTCCACAAGTAGAATGTGGGATCAGTCAGCCACGGCCCGGAAACAGGCTCCACAAACAACTTGTTCAAGTAGTGCAGAGGTACTCAACAACTTGTTTCAAATGTAGTTCAAGCCTGGCTCAAACTTTCTGGCCGTAAAACAGTCATTTCTAAATATTTTAAAATAATTCGGCCAAATTCGTATCACGCACCTTTCAAATGATCCCAGTCTGGAGCTGAAAAGTACATATTCTTGCATTAAAATGTTATAATGATTGTAGTATCTATCATGAATGTTATACATACAAAAGCAGGAAGATTACAGAATGAATTGATAAACACTATTTGGTAGCTGTGAAGTTTCACAATGCTCAATGTTAGCAAAACAGAATCAGTATTAGACATCATTGTCATTACCCCTAATCAAACATCGTTATAACTGAAAAATTCGTACCACAGAGCATGGGGACACGACTGTCGTAACAACACACAAAACATGGATCCAATGTCCTGCATGTATTTACCCTGACAAACTCACACCATACACAAAGACGCGCTTAGGACGACATGACTCCCGCCACCCTCGAGGGGAATACTGTATCTCACAAACATGTCATATACTCAACTACATAAATAAGCAAACATATGTAACAGAACAACGTTACTTACAGCCCCAGAAAGCAGCGGCAACGCCAACACAGAGCGTGAACAGCACGACCCGCATCATGTCGAGGACGACCGTGGCTATCCAAGTGATGGTTGTGTAACGTGCCTACCCTATATAGGTGTGCCATACTTTTTGTGATGTCACGGTGATCACTTAAAGACGACACCCGGCGACCCTCACACAATGTTTACTCTTAAAACTCACGAGCACCTGCTTTCAGCCAAACCATGGATCATAGTTGGTCCAATATGCACTTTGGACCCACGGTGGATGGACTTTGTTACCTAAGGGCAGCAACTACGTACAAAGAATGAAGTTCTGCTTGCTGACTGCCACACATTGTTGACGTGCATCATGCGACTCACCCAAAGCCTAGGTATCTGGGTCATCATTCGGAGAAAGACCTTTTCAGCTACATACATGTTTGTTCTTATATATCTCACTTTACCATCCAATGGCTTCATAAACGACAAGTTATTTGTAGGGGAAACATGCAGCATGACCTCGCCGTGTCTGCCCGGGGTGTCATGAACGTTGTGCAGTCAGGAGAGTGGAGCCGAATGGACCCAGAAAGTTTTTCATACGTTTCAAGACAAAGTAGTTTGAACAGTCTCATATATGTGGTAAAATACTCTAACACAAAAACATGCCCTCAAATACCAAAACACAGAAACATGTCCTGAAATACCCAAACACAGAAACATGTCCTGAAATACCCAAACACAGAAACATTTCCTCAGATATCCAAACACTCACACATGTCTTCAAATACCCAAACTCACAAACTTGTCCTCAGATACCAAAACACTCACACATGTCTCCAAATACCCAAACTCACAAACATGTCCTTAGATAGCCAAACACACAAGCATGTCCTCAGATACCCAAACATGTCCTCAAATACCCAAACTCACAAACATTTCCTCAAATACCCAAACTCACAAACATTTCTTCAGATACCCAAAACATGTCTTCAAATACCCAAACTCACAAACATGTCCTCAAATACCCAAACTCACAAACATTTCCTCAGATACCCAAACATGTCCTCAAATACCCAAACTCACAAACTTGTCCTCAGATACCCAAACACGCACACATGTCTTCAAATACCCAAACTCACAAACATTTCCTCAGATACCCAAACACTCACACATATCCTCACACACATCCTCAAATACCCAAACTCACAAACATGTCCTCAGATACCCAAACATGTCCTCAGATACCTAAACACTCACACATGTCTTCAAATACCCAAACACTCACACATGTCTTCAAATACCCATACTGTCACACATGTCCCCAAATACCCAAACACTCACACATATCCTCACACACATCCCAAAATACCCAAACACATACACTTCCTCAAATTCCGAAACTCACACATGTCCTCAAATACTGCTCAAAAGTAATGGAATACCTGTCATGTTTCCTCATGGGCTAAACGAATGTGCTACAGATACCCAACAGATTGAACAGAATGTTATAATGTAATTATCTGTCCCACATTTGAACCCAGCAGTTTAGGTGTTCGCAGTTAAGAATTTTGCGAAGTCCTTATAAGGAATCTACATTTGTATACAGCAAACACAAGGCGTGGTCTACATGCTGTTGACTGCCAGCCGGGTCGACGACATTACACACACATTTCCCGCTCTCATGTGTTTACATTATCATCGCTATTTTGCATTTTCTCTTTAATGGAAACTCTTTCGGCGGGTAATCGACACCGAACATTTTATATTTACCTGCAGCAACCTTTGCCCTTTGTATGGGTTGACGGAACGTGTAAGTGCTCGAGCACTGAAGCCTCCAATAGTCCGGGATTATTTATGATTAGAGAGAGAGAGAGAGAGAGAGAGAGAGAGAGAGAGAGAGAGAGAGAGAGAGAGAGAGAGAGAGAGAGAGAGAGAGAGAGAGAGAGAGAGAGAGAGAGAGAGGAGAGAGAGAGAGAGAGGAGAGGGAGAGAGAGGAGAGAGAGAGAGAGAGAGCGAGAGAGAGAGAGAGAGGAGAGAGAGGAGAGGAGAGAGAGAGGAGAGGGAGAGAGAGAGAGAGAGAGAGAGAGAGAGGGATAGGGAGGGAGGGAGGGGAGGGAGAGCGAGAGAGAGGGATAGGGAGAGAGAGAGAGAGAGAGAGAGAGAGAGAGAGAGAGGGAGAGAGAGATGGAGAGGGAGAGGAGAGGAGGAGAGGGAGAGAGAGAGAGAGAGAGAGAGAGAGAGAGAGAGAGAGAGGAGAGAGAGAGAGAGAGAGAGAGAGAGAGAGAGAGAGAGAGAGAGAGAGAGAGAGAGGAGAGAGGAGAGAGAGAGAGAGAGAGAGAGAGAGAGAGAGAGAGAGAGAGAGAGAGAGAGAGAGAGAGAGAGAGAGAGAGAGTCAAATCGGTTGTTTCAATGAGAGTAGGTGTATCGTGATTTCATAAGCCCTCATTACCCACACTGCAATAGTTGGCACATGCGCAGAGAGCCGGTTGGATCCTACTATCTAACTTGTGATCCTCGTAAATTTGTCCATGGGCAGGAGGGGCCAGGCAGTACCTAACGCTAATGGTGGACAAAATAGAGCCTGCAAAACCTCGACCTTTTCCGTACATTGTCTCCATAAAGTCTGCTTATCATGTGATCAGTTTGCAGTCAGTAAATTTGTGTCATTTACCATATCAAAATCTGGTTTTATTAGTATATTCATTGGTGGCGACGTAATGTGTTGTTTATAAGCAAGGAATTATTAAAGCAATGTAGAAGATACTTACCTTTATATGGAAAAGGGCTTTGTATGAAATATCATCCTGGGGATAAGTCAAAGAGGCAATACAAATATACTTCACATACTATAGAGAACAGTAGCATGTAATAACACCATTCACTTCCACCAATAGTGGAGACACCTGATATCTCTCATGTCGCTGGGAAGAATCACCACCATCGGCGAAATATGTCAACCCTTCATTATTTAACAACCAACAGCAGTTTTCAAGCCCGACCCATCATTGTAGAACGCAATGGTACATGTTTGGCTAAACTCAAAAATTCGTACGCTTCAACGTTGCACTTCATCGACGCTCAGTCAGCATTAAATAAATACCATTTCTATTTAACTGATGAACAGTAGCATTACAGCGCTTGAGGTTACACCAGTAAACGGTAGTATTTCATTTATCTAAGATCGGAGTGAATGACCACACCTAACGCACTTTGTGTGCACAGCCGGATCTGTGTTCACAACCTCGGTGAAAAGCGGAGAGGGTTTAATGCACGATCCCAACAAACACTGGCACGTCTGTAGGACGGGTTAAAAGGTAGGCTAGCTGGCTGAATAGTTCTTAAAAACTGAGTCTTGATTTAAAGTGTGATCCTTGACGAGACCCAGTCGTGGTCAGTGGTGGTCAGTTTGATGACGCTTCTTGGTAAGTCCAGTGGTATCTGCCCAAGGAACTGCACGACACATCCCAAATCATACTTCGGACTCTGCTCTTGATGATAATGGAAATACTCCTGTCGTCTCCGTTTACACTGACTCCGTTTACAACAGCCATTGAGCCGATATGTGGGGCCTTGTGATGGGGACGAAATGAAGGCACTGAGGTACTGAGAAATATCGATCCCACTACATGGCGGCGATGTAACCTAGTGCAGTTCCTACCAACCCATACAGTGATTGAAGTCATGAGCATCGATCTAAGCCATAAGGATATGAAGCTGTGCATCGGCCAAGGCAGAGAACCATAGCACATGAATCCTGAACAGAAGGAAATAGATGTATTCGTTTTTAGCTTGGGTCAGCGCGCCCGAATATACCCGTCGCCATGCGTATATGCACGTGGGTTTTAAAATCTCGTGCATTTTGTGGATATAGCTGACGACAGCGTGAATCAGTTTAACATCGTCGATATAGTTAGACATTGTTGAGGGACAAAGACGTCCATATAGACATCCAGCCTGGAGTTACAAATTGCTGGTTAGATTGCTTCCATTATCGAGAAGACATTTATACAGACGTTTACTTATCATTCATGTTATCGGTGAATGTGCAGTGTGGGGGAGTTTCCATTGGGTTTACTGTTTTGTTTCAGTTTTGGTGTATTAAATGTTCAGACATAATTCTTTTGACTTTTCGTTTATTTTATAAATGGGGAATACGAACTGCCTCATTCCGAATTCCGTTAGTTATCTCTTGTGACAATCATGGAGAGTTGAAGACACATGATGAATTGTTTTTGTCACGGATATTGTCTTGGAACCTAGGTAGCTGGAAGCAACTCAGTACAGCAGACTACTTGCCAAATGAGCTTAACTTGGTTTGGTTTGTTGTTTACGCCGCACTCAGCAGTATTCCAGCTATATGGCGGCGGGCTGTAAATCATCGAGTCTGGACCAGAAAATCCAGTGATCAACAGCATGAGCGTCGTTCTAAGCAATTGGGATACGATGACATGTGGCAACAAAGTCAGCGAGCCTGACCACACAACCCCATTAGTCGCTCTTACGACAAGCATGAGATACTGAAGACCAAAACTAACCCGGATCTTCACGTGTTGAGCTTCACTAACAGGCTGTGTTAACACAAGTCATATAGCGTCGGTTCGGAGTTTTAGGGTCAACGTAGGAAACAAACTTGATTATATGCCATTTTCAAAATAACATTATTAGAATTAATGTATGCTATACACAATATGTCATAAGAAATACCCCCTCAATTGTTATTTACTTAATTCCAAAATGAGGGATACATTGTTTAATGTTATTTAAAACCCACCTTTTTGTGTAGGTTGAATATCAAGCGATTCCTTCCGGTGTATGGACATTTATCGCACAACATTTTTACCGTTTTTCGGTGAATTAATCCGCTGGAGAATGACAAGTGACAAGTTGAGCACCCTCCCACAGATAACACTCCGACATGCAGAGGATGAACGGAATTCTTAATGTCATTTCTAATAGGTATAAATGCTCTCTCAACAAGAGATTGGTAAAACTGTCAAATTACAATAGTTACATTCCTCGCAAGTTTGTGGCGTGTCATTTCAGGGGGTGTACATATGAAATATTAAAAAACAACATACGCAGTGGAGTATAAGGGACACGAGAAGCACTTGTCACCTTGCAATACATGGAAGTTCACTGGTAGCCCAGTCGTCCCACCTGCTACCAATAGTTTGAATCCTAGATTCGCCCTGGTATGTTTCTACGTTTCTCAGCGCTATGACCGGTTTGTTGGGTTTCACTAACCTCTCGGACTTGCGTTACTTCGGGACTTCCTCCCACATTAAGCTGACATGCTGTGACATAACCGCATTATTGTTCATAACGCCCTTAACGAAACACGCTCACTCACACAACGAAGCCGTTTAGACTGACTCCTGTGTTGGTAGCTCAGTCGGCAGACATCAGCAGTTGATAATGTATAATTATAATGTAAACATGAAGCAGTCTGAACTCAGTTTGTATGAACCATGTCACTATTGTCAGTTTACATCATCTTAGTGGATGAACCATGTCACTATTGTCAGTTCACATCATCTTAGTGTATGAACACATGTCACTATTGTCAGTTCACATCATCTTAGTGGATGAACCATGTCACTATTGTCAGTTCACATCATCTTAGTGTATGAACCATGTCACTTTTGTCAGTTCACAACATCTTAGTGTATGAACCATGTCACTATTGTCAGCTCACATCATCTTAGTGGATGAACACATGTCACTATGGTCAGTTTACATCATCTTAGTGTATGAACCATGTCCCTATTGTCAGGTCGGATCATCTTAGTGTATGAACCATGTCACTATTGTCAGTTCACATCATCTTAGTGTATGAACCATGTCACTATTGTCAGTCACATCATCTTAGTGTATGAACCATGTCCCTATTGTCAGGTCGGATCATCTTAGTGTATGAACCATGTCACTATTGTCAGTTCACATCATCTTAGTGTATGAACCATGTCACTATTGTCAGTCACATCATCTTAGTGGATGAACCATGTCACTATTGTCAGTCACATCATCTTAGTGGATGAACCATGTCACTATTGTCAGTTCACATCATCTTAGTGTATGAACCATGTCACTATTGTCAGTTTACATCATCTTAGTGGATGAACCATGTCACTATTGTCAGTTCACATCATCTTAGTGGATGAACCATGTCACTATTGTCAGTCACATCATCTTAGTGGATGAACCATGTCACTATTGTCAGTCACATCATCTTAGTGGATGAACCATGTCACTATTGTCAGTCACATCATCTTAGTGGATGAACCATGTCACTATTGTCAGTTTACATCATCTTAGTGTATGAACCATGTCACTATTGTCAGTTCACATCATCTTAGTGTATGAACACATGTCACTATTGTCAGTTCACATCATCTTAGTGGATGAACCATGTCACTATTGTCAGTTCACATCATCTTAGTGTATGAACCATGTCACTTTTGTCAGGTCACATCATCTTAGTGTATGAACCATGTCACTATTGTCAGGTCACATCATCTTAGTGTATGAACCATGTCCCTATTGTCAGGTCACATCATCTTAGTGTATGAACCATGTCACTATTGTCAGTTCACATCATCTTAGTGGATGAACCATGTCACTATTGTCAGTCACATCATCTTAGTGGATGAACCATGTCACTATTGTCAGTCACATCATCTTAGTGGATGAACCATGTCACTATTGTCAGTTCACATCATCTTAGTGTATGAACACATGTCACTATTGTCAGTTCACATCATCTTAGTGTATGAACCATGTCACTATTGTCAGTTCACATCATCTTAGTGGATGAACACATGTCGCGTGACGACTGACAGAATGGCATTGAATTGAATCACTGAATACATGATTGCACAAAGGTAACATTGCTTGGCGGTATGTCGGATAACCTTTTGTCAGATGTAATCTTGTTCTTCAGAACCCCTTTCCATAAGAAGCTGAAACTTTATAAATGTATTCTCTGTCTGGACATTACTGAAGAGAGAAAACCGCAATGATGAGAGGGACTCGTTCCCTGTGACGTTCACCGTATCGGCTATGCAATGGCAGCATGTGTATGAGCATTCTTTGGGCGGCGGATTAGTACCGTCGTTAAAGCATTCGTTGGGTCGAAACACCACCAGGTTCGAGTCTCTACATGCAAACCGACCCGTGAAGATCCTGGGTAGAATAGGCCTTTAGCAACCCATGCTTGCCACATAAGGCGACTATGCTTGTCGTGAGAGGCGACTAACGGGATCGGGTGGTCAGGCTCGCTGACTTGGTTGACACATGTCATCGGTTCCCAGTTGCGCAGATCGATGCTCATGCTGTTGATCACTGGATTGTCTGGTCTAGACTCGATTATTTACAGACCGCAACCATATAGCTGGGTCTGTCATAGGAGCTGAATATTGCTGAGTGCGGCGTAAAACTAAACTCACTCACTACATGCAAACCATGGCTGAATCTTGTGTTGTTGCTTAAAAAATTCAAAAGGACGTAAAACACCCACTCACGTTTCAGGTGAAGTACATAAGTACATAAATAATGTCTTGACATTATCGTTCATATTGTAGTCCAGTTCATCTCTAGAAATCTGCACGTGTTAGTAGAACGATCGATGTTCACTAAGTTAAGAAACAGACAACAACTCCAGTAACATGCGTAATTGTATTTAATAACTTTAACAAGTTTAGAAAAATACATCCGCCGTGATATTGCTGGAATATTGCTGGAGTAGTACCATACTCACTCACTTACTCACTTACTCACTCACTCATCACTCAACAAATGTAAAGCGATAAGATCCATTTACAGTTTCAGCGTAAAACAACTGTTAAAAAACAAAACAAGAAAAAACAGTTTTCACCACTCGAGGATCCAAAACGCAACAACCAGCAAACCAGAAAACACCAGTGTGACACAAACTCGAGAGTCCACGTTAAATCTCGGAAAGGGACGAGTACTGCCGAACTTGCTATCCATACTGACTCGGCTTAGCAGAAGTTACGTAGAGGGTTGGACATATAGATGTGGAGTGTGGACATCCGGCCGAGTCCGGACAGACAGCGTGGAACAGGGTTCAGGAAACGCTGAAATAATAATAATAAAACAAATGAAATGAAATCATGTATTTTCTATCCCACAAGATTCTGGTGATTGACAAGATTCATGATAATCATGGTAAATATGCCTCGCATGAGAAATGTGAAGAGTCCATCCCTAGTACCAAGCTGCCCGGCTCCCAAGTGTTATAGGTACTACCCAATCTCTTGATTTTAAATGGGGTGTGTGTGTTCTGGATGAGTAGGGGGGCATCAATTTTGTACATAAATATATTTAACAATTATGCTTAAAATATGGGGGAGGGTGGTATTTGATTTTGTACATGACATGCAGGGTGGTCACTTACTTTGTACATTCATGTTGGGGGGGATGGGGGAGGGTGTGTGTGTGTCATTCACATTGTACATGCTTCTCCACAAAAATCATCACCACCCACCCATAGACATAACTTATGAACGGTCCCCAAAGGCCCTGAGCTGTTGATGAGCCTTACCAGCATGACTGTACCAGGATCACCCGAACCCTCTTTGATGCATTCATTTGTTTTGATTAATTTATATATAACAGCAGAAATAGCGGAATTGGTGATTGTCACATGTATGAATGGAATGGATTGCATGTCCCACAATGTGATGCAGACAATTCTCATGCTATTATATATATTTGTACTGATGCCCTCGGGTGCTCGTGAGGCAAGCATTCTACAGTGTGTCGGAGAAATAACAATTCCAACAAAATCGATAGTAGCGTTAACGTACTTTTCCTAGCTACCGTTGGTCTGTCTAGGTTGAAACAAGGAACATTCGTGGCGCTAGGAACATCTTTCCGATTGTTTGTAGCTTCGTCTTACCCAAATAGCATGTATCTCACACTCTCCAGATAGCTTGTGATATTACTGATGCTGTTTCCTTTGAATCCGCTACGAACTTTATTTCTACAGATTTAATTGCTATGAACCTGAAGACCAGAATCCTGACTATTGCCAAACTTTAGGCCAACAGTGGTTGGTTGGTTGGTTTTATAGTTTTAAGGCGACGTGGGTGCTGACGTGAGTGCTGAACAAGGAGATTTGCATCCCCTTATTGTCCGTTTGAGCCGCTGGACCGACGGGGGGAAGGAGTATAAGAGTCTAGCTGACTCCTAGTGTGAACTTACCCCAAACTGTGATTCAGGAGGATGTTCAAAACGACGCGACGACAGATTGGCGTTAAACGCCCAGCCAAAAGAGTTGAGCTTGCCACCATTGTACATGAGAAACACTGGGAAGAAGCGGTCACAGTCCATGTTCAACGAAATGTCATACCAGTAGTGAACTCCTGAAGAAACACAAATTAGACGTCTTGGTATCCATTCAAGTTACGATAACGATACTCAATGTATGTGCAATTATCACCAATGTGACTACGGGGTTGTTTCTACGGTATATCGCTTATAGAATAATGTGTTTTGGAGCAATACCAAATCGTATAAAATAGAAGAAAATGAAAACATTCACGTTTGACAAGGCCCGTTAACTACAGAGACTTGAGGCCTCTGAGATGATCACGAAACTTCGAGTCATCTGTCCTTCGAGTTACGCTCCGCGCTCACATTACTTCACAGAATGTTAATATAACCAGACAATCATAGTATACACTCATTGTTATGACGACTATGAAACAACACACGAAGAAATATTCTTGTGATTATCAATTGTTTCACACAGGCGTTCTCGTTGTGTTTAGAAAAAAATTGTAAGGAATCAGAGACAGCTTACAACTCAGCAACGTTTTGTTGTTTGTTATATTTTTGTTGTCAAATCCATTTTTTAAGCGTAGACTTTCTTTTGCCCAGTGGCGTATATATGGTTAGTGTAGTGACTGTTGACGAGGTTGACTATTGTTTAATGCCGATTTGCCATCATTCCAGGAGCACCAGAAATCATGGAAACCAGACATTGTACAGATGTAGGGAATGGTACCAAGAGATTCGATGTGACAGGCAAACGCTGTAACCACTAGGCGAACGCATTCCTCCTTAGCGAGGCTTAACAGTAGTGTGATGGTATCTTCAAGACTGCTTACCCATCCATGGGAAGCAGCGTCCCCTTGTCCAAGGTGTTCTGAGAAGTTCTGACTCGGTCATTGGTATAGTGATGTACTCCCCGGGGATGGTGCCGTTCTGGACCAGCAGCCGTGTACCCGTCCCCTCCTCGGAATACTGGCTCGAGGTCCGTCCCGTGCTGCATATCCTGTCTGAAAACATGATGAGTGAGTGAGTGAGAGTGATTAAATGGCATTTGTTCAGTGACTATGCCTGTGATAGAGAGTGAGTACAAGCATTTTGTGTGACCCAAATGACCGAAAAACATATAAATTTACAGATGTACATGATTTGAGATTAAGTTGCAGATTGTAAAGCCTCTCAGCGCTTCATAGTCACCCTTACTGTGACCTTGACCTTTTGCATGAAATATCTGAACTAGATCAAACAATCAAAAGCAGTATTTGACTGTTTGACATTTCAGTTTCGACCCATGCAGTCTGGGTTTTGTATGAAGAACATCAATGAGCGCAAATGGGTGTCGCTGTCAGTGCAGATGTGCTTTGTTCCTGTAACGTCGGGAATCTCTTGACCTCTCATTATCAGATGCAGGGGTGGGAGTGGGTTGTGGGAGCCTTACACTAGTGGTGCTGGGACCCAAGGCAGGCATTCAAGGAGAGATCAGCCTCATTTGCCGCCCACCTATTCTAAGCCCGGAATGTTCATGGGGAGATGATCCTTAGCTGCTGCCCACCTAATCTAATACAGGAATGTTCATGGGGAGATGATCCTTAGCTGCTGCCCACCTAATCTAAGACAGGAATGTTCATGGGGAGATGATCCTTAGCTGATGTCCACCTAATCTAAGACAGGAATGTTCATGGGGAGATGATCCTTAGCTGCTGTCCACCTAATCTAAGACAGGAATGTTCATGGGGAGATGATCCTTAGCTGCTGCCCACCTAGTCTAAGACAGGAATGTTCATGGGGAGATGATCCTTAGCTGATGTCCACCTAATCTAAGACAGGAATGTTCATGGGGAGATGATCCTTAGCTGCTGTCCACCTAATCTAAGACAGGAATGTTCATGGGGAGATGATCCTTAGCTGCTGCCCACCTAGTCTAAGACAGGAATGTTCATGGGGAGATGATCCTTAGCTGATGTCCACCTAATCTAAGACAGGAATGTTCATGGGGAGATGATCCTTAGCTGCTGTCCACCTAATCTAAGACAGGAATGTTCATGGGGAGATGATCCTTAGCTGCTGCCCACCTAGTCTAAGACAGGAATGTTCATGGGGAGATGATCCTTAGCTGCTGTCCACCTAATCTAAGCCGGAATGTTCATGGGGAGATGATCCTTAGCTGCTGTCCACCTAATCTAAGCCGGAATATTCATGGGGAGATGATCCTTAGCTGTTGCCCACCTAATCTAAGCCGGAATATTCATGGGGAGATGATCCTTAGCTGCTGCCCACCTAATCTAAGACAGGAATGTTCATGGGGAGATGATCCTTAGCTGCTGCCCACCTAATCTAAGACGGGAGAATGTTTTATGGGGAGATGATCCTTAGCTGCTGTCCACCTAATCTAAGACAGGAATGTTCATGGGGAGATGATCCTTAGCTGCTGCCCACCTAATCTAAGACGGGAGAATGTTTTATGGGGAGATGATCCTTAGCTGCTGTCCACCTAATCTAAGACAGGAATGTTCATGGGGAGATGATCCTTAGCTGCTGCCCACCTAATCTAAGACGGGAGAATGTTTATGGGGAGATGATCCTTAGCTGCTGCCCACCTAATCTAAGCCGGAATGTACATGGGGAGATGATCCTTAGCTGCTGCCCACCTAATCTAATACCGGAATGTACATGGGGAGATGATCCTTAGCTGCTGCCCACCTAATCTAAGACAGGAATGTTCATGGGGAGATGATCCTTAGCTGCTGCCCACTTAATCTAAGCCCGGAATGTTCATGGGGAGATGATCCTTAGCAGCTGCCCACCTAATCTAAGCCCGGAATGTTCATGGGGAGATGATCCTTAGCTGCTGCCCACCTAATCTAAGACGGGAGAATGTTTTATGGGGAGATGATCCTTAGCTGCTGCCCACCTAATCTAAGACGGGAGAATGTTTTATGGGGAGATGATCCTTAGCTGCTGCCCACCTAATCTAAGACAGGAATGTTCATGGGGAGATGATCCTTAGCTGCTGCCCACCTAATCTAAGACAGGAATGTTCATGGGGAGATGATCCTTAGCTGCTGCCCACCTAATCTAATACAGGAATGTTCATGGGGAGATGATCCTTAGCAGCTGCCCACCTAATCTAATACAGGAATGTTCATGGGGAGATGATCCTTAGCTGCTGCCCACCTAATCTAATACAGGAATGTTCATGGGGAGATGATCCTTAGCAGCTGCCCACCTAATCTAATACAGGAATGTTCATGGGGAGATGATCCTTAGCTGCTGCCCACCTAATCTAAGACGGGAGAATGTTCATGGGGAGATGATCCTTAGCTGCTGCCCACCTAATCTAATACTGGAATGTACATGGGGAGATGATCCTTAGCTGCTGCCCACCTAATCTAATACAGGAATGTTCATGGGGAGATGATCCTTAGCAGCTGCCCACCTAATCTAATACAGGAATGTTCATGGGGAGATGATCCTTAGCAGCTGCCCACCTAATCTAATACAGGAATGTTCATGGGGAGATGATCCTTAGCTGCTGCCCACCTAATCTAAGACGGGAGAATGTTCATGGGGAGATGATCCTTAGCTGCTGCCCACCTAATCTAATACTGGAATGTACATGGGGAGATGATCCTTAGCTGCTGCCCACCTAATCTAAGACAGGAATGTACATGGGGAGATGATCCTTAGCTGCTGCCCACCTAATCTAAGACAGGAATGTACATGGGGAGATGATCCTTAGCTGCTGCCCACCTAATCTAATACAGGAATGTTCATGGGGAGATGATCCTTAGCTGCTGCCCACCTAATCTAATACTGGAATGTACATGGGGAGATGATCCTTAGCAGCTGCCCACCTAATCTAAGCCAGGAATGTACATGGGGAGATGATCCTTAGCTGCTGCCCACCTAATCTAAGACAGGAATGTTCATGGGGAGATGATCCTTAGCTGCTGCCCACCTAATCTAAGACAGGAATGTTCATGGGAGATGATCCTTAGCTGCTGCCCACCTAATCTAATACAGGAATGTTCATGGGGAGATGATCCTTAGCTGCTGCCCACCTAATCTAAGACAGGAATGTTCATGGGGAGATGATCCTTAGCTGCTGCCCACCTAATCTAAGACAGGAATGTTCATGGGGAGATGATCCTTAGCTGCTGCCCACCTAATCTAATACAGGAATGTTCATGGGGAGATGATCCTTAGCTGCTGCCGACCTAATCTAATACAGGAATGTTCATGGGGAGATGATCCTTAGCTGCTGCCCACCTAATCTAAGCCCGGAATGTACATGGGGAGATGATCCTTAGCTGCTGCCGACCTAATCTAATACAGGAATGTTCATGGGGAGATGATCCTTAGCTGCTGCCCACCTAATCTAAGCCCGGAATGTACATGGGGAGATGATCCTTAGCTGCTGTCCACCTAATCTAATACAGGAATGTTCATGGGGAGATGATCCTTAGCTGCTGCCCACCTTATCTAAGCCGGAATGTTCATGGGGAGATGATCCTTAGCTGCTGCCCACCTAATCTAAGCCCGGAATGTTCATGGGGAGATGATCCTTAGCTGCTGCCCACCTAATCTAAGACGGGAGAATGTTTTATGGGGAGATGATCCTTAGCTGCTGCCCACCTAATCTAAGACAGGAATGTTCATGGGGAGATGATCCTTAGCTGCTGCCCACCTAATCTAAGCCGGAATGTTCATGGGGAGATGATCCTTAGCTGCTGCCCACCTAATCTAAGACAGGAATGTACATGGGGAGATGATCCTTAGCTGCTGCCCACCTAATCTAAGACAGGAATGTTCATGGGGAGATGATCCTTAGCTGCTGCCGACCTAATCTAAGCCGGAATGTTCATGGGGAGATGATCCTTAGCTGCTGCCCACCTAATCTAAGACAGGAATGTACATGGGGAGATGATCCTTAGCTGCTGCCCACCTAATCTAATACAGGAATGTTCATGGGGAGATGATCCTTAGCTGCTGCCCACCTAATCTAATACTGGAATGTACATGGGGAGATGATCCTTAGCAGCTGCCCACCTAATCTAAGCCCGGAATGTACATGGGGAGATGATCCTTAGCTGCTGCCCACCTAATCTAAGACAGGAATGTTCATGGGGAGATGATCCTTAGCTGCTGCCCACCTAATCTAAGACAGGAATGTTCATGGGGAGATGATCCTTAGCTGCTGCCCACCTAATCTAATACAGGAATGTTCATGGGGAGATGATCCTTAGCTGCTGCCGACCTAATCTAATACAGGAATGTTCATGGGGAGATGATCCTTAGCTGCTGCCCACCTAATCTAAGCCCGGAATGTACATGGGGAGATGATCCTTAGCTGCTGCCCACCTAATCTAATACAGGAATGTTCATGGGGAGATGATCCTTAGCTGCTGCCCACCTTATCTAAGCCGGAATGTTCATGGGGAGATGATCCTTAGCTGCTGCCCACCTAATCTAAGCCCGGAATGTTCATGGGGAGATGATCCTTAGCTGCTGCCCACCTAATCTAAGACGGAGAATGTTTTATGGGGAGATGATCCTTAGCTGCTGCCCACCTAATCTAAGACAGGAATGTTCATGGGGAGATGATCCTTAGCTGCTGCCCACCTAATCTAAGCCGGAATGTTCATGGGGAGATGATCCTTAGCTGCTGCCCACCTAATCTAAGACAGGAATGTACATGGGGAGATGATCCTTAGCTGCTGCCCACCTAATCTAAGACAGGAATGTTCATGGGGAGATGATCCTTAGCTGCTGCCGACCTAATCTAAGCCGGAATGTTCATGGGGAGATGATCCTTAGCTGCTGCCCACCTAATCTAAGCCGGAATGTTCATGGGGAGATGATCCTTAGCTGCTGCCCACCTAATCTAAGACAGGAATGTACATGGGGAGATGATCCTTAGCTGCTGCCCACCTAATCTAAGCCCGGAATGTTCATGGGGAGATGATCCTTAGCTGCTGCCCACCTAATCTAAGACAGGAATGTACATGGGGAGATGATCCTTAGCTGCTGCCCACTTAATCTAAGCCCGGAATGTTCATGGGGAGATGATCCTTAGCTGCTGCCCACCTAATCTAAGACAGGAATGTTCATGGGGAGATGATCCTTAGCAGCTGCCCACCTAATCTAATACAGGAATGTTCATGGGGAGATGATCCTTAGCAGCTGCCCACCTAATCTAATCCCGGGATGTTCATGGGGAGATCATTTCAATCGGTTATCGAATAGTTGTAGATTATTCGAGACAAGATCAATGTACTATTTTGTAGAGATCCAGAATGAGAGGGCGACCCCATGCCCAGAACATACCCGACTATCTTGGGATGGAATAGTCAGCTGTGTTACTGTGTGTCATGTTTACCCTGCCAAGCCTTGACAGACCGTGACGTGACGTAACTGCAATACTACAGACACCGGTGGACAACAGCATTCAATTACTCTGGTGATTAGCTTAATCTGATTTTCTTCAAGCATAGTATATCCTACTCAGCAGATAACACATGTACGTACTGGGGTCCATGAAGTAAGCGGTGATGAACTGGTGATTGTCGTGCTCCACGAAGGGGTGGTTCTGCAGGGGGTTATGGGGGTACCCATTCGGTTGATTGATGGGGAACTGAAACACAATACATCCAGAGTGAATGAGTGAGTTTAGTGTTACGCCGCACTCAGCAATATTCTAGCTATATGGCGGCGGTCTGTAAATTATCGAGTCTGGACCTGTCAATCCAGTGATCAACAGCATGCGCATCAATCTACACAATCTACAAAATTGGGATACGTGTCAACCAAGCCAGCGAGCCTGACCACCCGATCCCGTTAGTCGCCTTTTTCGACAAGCATGGGTTTTTGAAAATCAATTCTAACCCGGATCTTCACGGGTCCAACACATCCAGACGTTACACCACAATTGGCCATGCAGTACAGTTATTGTAACTGGGGAAGTCAAATCAATAGAAAGCTGTATGACATTTTGAAATTCAACATCGCAACATGTCTAACGATAATGACCTGCTTCATATATTGATCTTACCCCTGTTTGAATCCCTGCGATGAAGCCGTTCACGTCGAAGATGAGGATGACTGCGAAGTCGCCATTTTTAGCATAACGCTTGCCAGCAAACATAGGAATTGCTGAAAACACATTAGTTACAAACGGAAATATAAACATGAGATACTGCGGCACAACAGATAAATTTCGTAAATGTGTATTGATCGAAATAAATATGACACCACAAAAACAAATTAAGTGTGAAACACCTTAGATTACACACATCCTCACACAGATATGCTCACAGGCACACACGCTCATATACACACATACTGACGGACAAATATACTCACATACACACATACTGACGGACGAATATACTCACATACACACATACTGACGGACAAATATACTCACATACACACATACTGACGGACAAATATACTCACAAACACACATACTGACGGACAAATATACTCACAAACACACATACTGACAGAGACATACTCACAAACACACATACTGACGGACAAATATACTCACAAACACACATACTGACGGACAAATATACTCACAAACACACATACTGACGGACAAATATACTCACAAACACACATATTCACAGACACCCGTAAGAGACGACTAACGGGATTGGGCGGTCAGGCTCGCTAACTCGGTTGACACATGTCATCGTACCCTTATTACGCAGATCGATGCTCATGCTGTTGATCACTGGATTGTCTGGTCCAGACTCGATCATTTACAGACCACCGCCATGTAGCTGGAATATTGCTGAGTGTGGCGTTAAACAACAAATAAACAATCAAACTTACAGACGCACGCACTCACCTCCGCACCCGGACAGCTGGGTGTACCCCTTGGTCCTGGCGGCCAGCTCTGTTCTCGGGACATGTGAGAATGTCCCCGAACTGAATATGTTGATTCCGAAAGTCACTGAAATAGTGATAAAAAGTTTGATTATAACCACATGAAATATAAAACAATTGCAAAATACATACATATAACTAGACAATTCCTGCTGACAAATCATGAAATCTGAGTATATATGAGACTTTATTCTGAATTATGACCGAACGGGCCGCACAACCTCCCGCAGCAGAATGTACAGGATTTAGTGAAATCAGTTTACCTTGCAGCTTGTTCCAGTCGGGGGCTGAAACAGAAAGGCACTAAGATAAGTGTCATAGTACATGTCGGTATAGTCACGGGTAGGCAAGCGGGGATAAGGAAAGGGGAATGCGGGGATGGAAGAAGCCTGCGGGGATAGGGAGAGCGGGGACTGTGGGGATGAGAGAAGCCTGTGGGGATAGGGAGAGCGGGGACTGCGGGGATGGAAGAAGCCTGCGGGGATAGGGAGAGCGGGGACTGCAGGGATGGAAGAAGCCTGCGGGGATAGGGAGAGCGGGGACTGCGGGGATGGAAGAAGCCTGCGGGGATAGGGAGAGCGGGGACTGCGGGGATGGAAGAAGCCTGTGGGGATAGGGAGAGCGGGGACTGCGGGGATGGAAGAAGCCTGCAGGGGATAGGGAGAGGGGACTGCGGGGATAGGGAAGAAGCCTGCGGGGATGGGATAGGGAGGAGGGGACTGCGGGGATGGGAGAAGTGGGGATAGGGAGAGCAGGGACTGCGGGGATGGAAGAGCCTGTCGGGAAGCGGGAGCCTGCGGGGATGGAAGAAGCCCGTGGGGATAGGGAGAGCGGGGACTGCGGGGATGGAAGAAGCCTGCGGGGATAGGGAGAGCGGGAACTGCGGGGTGTGGGAGAAGCCTGAAGGGATAGGAGAGCGGGAACTGCGGGATGGGAGAAGCCCGTGGGGATAGGGAGAGCAGGGACTGCGGGGATGGGGAAGAAGCCTGCAGGGGATAGGGGAGAAGCAGGGAACTGCAGGGGATGGAAGAAGCCTGCGGGGATAGGGAGAGCGGGGACTGCGGGGATGGAAGAAGCCTGTGGGGATAGGGAGAGCAGGGGACTGCTGGGATGGAAGAAGCCTGCGGGGATAGGGAGAGCGGGGACTGGGATGGGAAGCCTGTGGGGATAGGGAGAGCAGGGACTGCGGGGATGGAAGAAGCCTGCGGGGATAGGGAGAGCAGGGACTGCGGGGATGGAAGAAGCCTGTGGGATAGGGAGAGCGGGAACTGCGGGGATGGAAGAAGCCTGTAGGGGATGGGGACTGCAGGGGGGGAAGAACTGCGGGACTGCGGGGATGGGAAGAAGCCTGTGGGGATAGGGAGAGCGGGACCAGGGGATGGAAGAAGCCTGTGGGGATAGGGAGAGCGGGACTGCTGGGATGGATGGAAGAAGCCTGTGGGGATAGGGAGAGCAGGGGACTGCAGGGATGGGAGCCTGTGGGGACCAGGGAGAGCAGGAACTGCGGGGTGTGGGAGAAGCCTGAAGGGATAGGGAGAGCGGGAACTGCGGGGATGGAAGAAGCCCGTGGGGATAGGGAGAGCGGGGACTGCGGGGATGGAAGAAGCCTGCGGGGATAGGGAGAGCGGGAACTGCGGGGATGGGAGAAGCCTGCGGGGATAGGGAGAGCGGGGACTGCAGGGATAGAAGTAGCCTGCGGGGATAGGGAGAGCGGGGACTGCAGGGATAGAAGTAGCCTGCGGGGATAGGGAGAGCGGGAACTGCGGGGATGGGAGATTGAAGGGATGGGAGAGCGGGAACTGCGGGGATGGGAGACGGGGAGAAGGACTGCAGAGATGGGGAGTGGGACTGTGGGGATGGGAGATGAGGAGAGGGACTTTGGGGATGGGATATGGGGAGAGGGACTGTGGGGATGGGAGACGGGGAGAGGGACTGGGGTGGGAGACGGGGAGAGGGACTGGGGGTGGGAGACGGGGAGTGGGACTGTGGGGATGGGAGATGAGGAGAGGGACTGGGGGATGGGAGACGGGAGTGGGACTGCGGGGAAGAGGCACTGGAAGGATGAGAGACGGTGAGAGGGACTGCGGGGATGGGAGACGGGGAGAGAACTGTTGGGGGGAGGGGGGGGTTGTAGACAGGGAGAGGGACTGCTGGGGCCACACCCCTTTGAGCTGCAGTATTCTGGTAATTATGTCAACTTCATATGTCGGCCTATCGGGTTAACGTGCCGAGAAATACAGCAACCGCGCGCGAAACTCGTGCTATCAGACAATCTGGGAGTAACATTCACCTCAAGGGTAACTCCACAAGCCTACGTCCTGTCATTCTGTCACGTATGTTTCGTTTATGCAGTTGTTTCTTGATTTCTAACGCCGTAGATAGTCAAATTCCAGATTCTACGGCGGATAGGAAGTACTAGTGGTTCGACCAGATTAACTAGTGATTGATATGATGTGGAACACCCCCATGTTGGGGACAGTCAACCAGGCTCCACCCCTTCTAACACTGATGGGGGATCCAGGAAGGAATGTCAGTCGGCCAGTATACGAGTAGACGCTGTCATTAACGCCAGCTAACACATGCAGTACTGTTGGTGTTAGCGGAGTTCGAGACGGTGCCGGTATTCAAGAGGAATGCCATGTTTATAACTGAAACTAAGAAACAAGTACATGGAGGTATTGCACGTGCATATCAAATGTATCAACACTCACATGCCTAAGTTCGAACAGGATATTTCAGTGATAAAGAAAATGATTTTACGCCGCTTTTTGCATATTGCAGGTGTCCAAGCGCGTTGGTTTCGCCCTCGCAAAGTCGTCAGGATGGCTGACAGACGGACGGAAGACACAAGTCTGTGGAACTGATGACAAGAGAAGCAGTTTTTATTGTGGTTGGTTGACGACAGGTCGAAATGGTACAAGTTGATGGTAATCGCGTGACCGAACGCAAACCGGGAACGAGTGGCCAATGTTCCCGGTGAGGAGGACCGCTATGTCATTTACACCCATCCAGAAGTCGGACGGCGATTCTTCATCGTCGACGAAGTCGTTGATGATCCGACTAGATGCACAATCAATCCGCTTCTGTCGATGATCTGGTCTCGTCTCTCCTTTACGCCGTCTCCGACTGATCATTCCAGTCAGATGTTACTCTCATAAGAACTACATCCCATTTGAACCAAATCCCAAATTAACTACAGGGATTAACTAGGGATTAGTAGAGCAGTCCCCGATCTGAGTAGAGGCACCCCCATGGCATGTAATGAGCACAGTCCATCAGCTCGTCATAGGCGACGCAAAACGGTAGTAGCTATGTCGTCATCATGTGTATGACGTTACAGTTAGTGACAATAGGTAATATGTAATAGATATATAAGACATATCTTCTTATGTAGTTGAAAATGCTGATCATAAAGCAGTAAAAGTCCCAAGAGAGACACTTATGAAAACAAAAGAAACAAATACAGAGATGGACATTCTTCCATTTGTTTGTACCTACAATCCTAATAACTGTACAATTATGCCCATTAAAAAAGCAAATCTTCCAATTTTGTATAAAAGTGATACTATGAAAAAGGTTTATCAGTCAGTTTAACAAAATGTCAAATACCTTGATATGGAACTAGTTAAATCATAACTGAAGACTGCAAATTTACATTTTGTGAAGGCAAACTATTTACTATCAAAACCAACATGAACTGCCGCAGCTAAAATGTTATACATGTTTTATTTGTTTTGTGTTGGGCAAATCCATTAAGCAGACGCAGGTGACAGCTTGTAGTTAATCTGTGCACTAGACCATCACATGTGTTGTTTTAAGCTGTAGTTCTTATGGGATGTAGTTCTTATGGGAGGACACCTTATAGATGGAGGACACCTTATAGATGGGGGACACCTTATAGATGGGGGACACCTTATAGATGGGGGACCTCACGCCATGCGGTGCAAGGTCACTGTTAATTGACATATACTGATAGCATTAAGGCTCCTGCTTGTGGGGTTGGTGATGGTGGTGGGGGGGGGGGGGTGGGGGTGGGGGTGGATTGGTGGATTGGTAGGGTGGTGGTTATGAAAAGAGGGGATACAAATTTTTTTTGTGAAATGGTTTGCACTAAGACACAAGCAATATGGAAATAAAGATGACTAAACCCAGTGTCGATTGTACAATTGTGACTATATCACGAGTCTGTGTTCTTTGACGCCGCATGCAGCTGTATTCCAGCTGTACGTCACGTTTCCTAAATCTGATGACGATGTTATGTTTCGACAGTGTTAACAAGACCAAGTGTCACACATCCACTTTCGCAAATCCCCGCAGAAATTAAATATGACAAACACAAATATTGTAAATGCTATGTATTAGTCAGGAAGAAACACATCACCTGAGACAGCTCATGCTCCGTATAGCATGACAATCTGAAAACGAGCGAGTATTTTGGCGTTATATACATACAATTCCCTTGACTAGAAGGCACAAGATTGACTAATTGCCATTTCGTGACAATGTGGAGTGAGTGAGTGAGTTCAGTCTTACGCCGCTTTTAGCAATATTCCAGCAAAATCACGGTGGGGACACCAGAAATGGGCTTCACACATTGTAACCATGTGGGGAATCGAACCAGGGTCTTCGGAGAGACGAGCAAACGCCCTTAACCACCAGGCTACCTCACCGCCCCATGACATATTGAAATATGACATTAAACCAAAGGGCCGATATTAGACCAAAGAGTCGATATAAGACCACAGCGTCGATATTGGACCAAAGAACTGATATTTGATAATAAATGCTGGACCCGACTGAAAAACAAAACAGACAGACTTCGACTTCGTCAAAGAAAGAGTTTTACGTGCCAGTTCTTCGCACTCAGTTATGTACACATTACAACAGGCCATGTATGATTATATGAAGGTCGACTTACATCTACTGAAGAAAAACGCCTGGGACACAGCCAGAAGTGAGACGATCAGCAACAAGCGGAACATTGTCGAACCTTCCAACTCAGATGACCGCCGTGGACTGACTAGAAGCTGGAGCCGCAGCCCAGGTAATACCAACGGGAACGTACACTTTCAGCTGGAACCCGAGTCGACCCGAGGTGTCACGAAACAACTGGAGTGAGGATGCGAGTGCGATAGTACTTGCCTGAGTGCGTGTGTTCTGCGAGTGTGTGTGGACGGCTGGGTGTGTTTTGCGTACGTGTGTGTGCGGTTGGTTGGTTGGGTGTGTTTTGCGTACGTGTGTGTGCGGTTGGTTGGTTGGGTGTGTTTTGGGCAGGGAGCTGGTGTTTAATGATTTAATGAAACTACATTGATACTATGGCACTGAATCTGAACTGATGATTTATCCATCTACGACGTTGTGACATCTATTTTTATTCCACATGATGAGGAACGCGTCATTCCGTTGTTAGGGTGTACCCGTGAAGGTCCGGGTTAGACCGGGTCTTCAGTAACCCATTCTTGTCGTAAGAGGCGACTAACGGGATCGGGTGGTCAGGCCCGCTGACTTGGTTGACACATGTCATCGTACCCCAACTGCGTAGATCGATGCGTATGCAGTTGATCACTGGATTGTCTGGTCTCGATTATTTACAGACCACCGCCATATAGCTGGAATATTGCTGAGTGCGGCGTTAAACAACAAACCAAGCAACCAACGTCGTTAGGTGATCTTGTAGATGCTGACATTTAACACTCCACGTGAAGATCCGGGTTACCACACACCGATATATTTCTTTCCCGATATCTTCCTGTCATCGTATTCCATGTGATTGGACTGGTGATCATGCTGTAAGTCACTGGATTGTCTGGTCCAGAATTTATCATTTTCAGACCACCATCATATAGCAGGAATATAGTTCTCATCCAGGCTGAGTTGGTCAACAGCGTGTCGTACTCTTGCATTGCAGGCTTCTTAAGCTGTTTTCCCTGTATACAGACTGTTCCATAACAACAAGTTCTTGTCTTTTTCGACAGCATGTAATATCTTCGATGGTAAATTTGCACCTATTTTGTTGTATGCATCGGAAATATGGGGCCTTAAATACCATTACTGTATTGAAAAGGTGCAAACAACCTATTTCAAACGTTTCTTGTGTGTTGGGAAATTCGCATGGAATAAGGCAATATTAGGCGAAATTGGTCGTACCAATATGTTTGTTTTAAGTAGACACAGAGCTGTTAAATATTGGATTAAATTGGTTAGAATGGGTGTAAACAGATATCCACATCAATGTTATAACATGCTGAAAGAACTGGATGACAGAGGTAAAAGGAACTGGGTTTCAGATATCCGTCTCGTTTTCACACGTATGGTTATACCAAAATGTTGGAGACGAAAAATTGTTCTTGTATGTGTTCAAGCAAAGATTAGTTGATATTTATGTCCAAAATTGGCAAGGAAATGTACAAGCTTCACATTTTTTGAGAAATTATAGTCTTGTAAAATTAGGATTTTACCCTGAAGCGTATATTACATACCTGTTTCATGATAAGACGTTACTGAAGGTATTTTTTAAATTCCGAATTTCTCTACATAATTTGAATGTAAATGCAACCAGACGAAATAAGGATGCTGAAGAAGAATTTCATATTTTACTACAATGTCCAGAATTTAATGATTTGAAAATAAAGTATTTAAGATTTCTCGATTGAAATATGTATGTAAATCCCAAATGATAAATGTATTTAATTCACAAAATAGACATACCGTTAAAGCAATAGCAACATTTCTGAAATGTGTATTCTCCAAAAAATGTTTGAAACAGTGTTGAAATATAGCTTATCTATTTTCTTACGACGTGACAACAAAAGTGTTGTAACAACAATTGTAACATGGGCCAGTTGGCCAATATTACTAAATAAAATCTGTCTGTCTGTCAAACATTACTGAGTGCGACTTCAAACAAACAAACAAACAATGGGGTGGGTGCTGAACTTTTTTGGAGCTGTATATGAAGGGAGTCATGACTGTGTGCATTACACAGGCAATGTGTCATACAGACGCCTGGCTTGATGCCAATAACCGTATGCTGGGATCGAGTAGGTGATGTCACTATTGCGCAGGCGCTCCAATAACGTTTTCAAACATGCACGTGAGTTTATGTGATAAGGAACATGCTGTTGAAGAATGCCCATGTAACATTCAAGCATAAACAACAGACACGAGACCTGGCAATACGCCAACAAACAAGCACCAGGATAGACTACTCGACTTTGACTGATTCTCCGACTGAATATTTCACGACACGATTGTTCCACTGTCATTTCCATCGGCCTACTTATCGTCCTACACGTATGTAGGCGCCCTGTTCCTGTTGACGAATGTGTTACAATGGTTGTCTGACAGTTGTATCCAGTGCACGTATGGCACGGGAAGGATGACTCTTAAGTCTTAAGTATCATGACGTAGATATAATAGTGATAATATCGCATCTATAATGGCAACAATAATTGTGGAGGACTTTGAGGAATATATGAATGAATGAAAGAATGAATGAATACAATGGTGTTGATGATGATACTCATTTAAACAATATTCCTTACATTTTAAACTAAAGTTCCAAATGCAAAAAGCGTTCAATGAATCACCACATATAAATTTTCACCGGCTTACCATTGACACATTTGTTAGTTAGAATTACAATTTACTGTGAATATTATTGGTAGTCAGCTGGCGACCTATATACTTGGTGCCCCCGTATCTGTGACTGTTCTGTATATACACACATATAATATTATATACTTTGCCCCTGAAGTATATGTGATCTCTAGTGGAGGGCTGGAGTGAACAACAACTCACAGGGCACCTACAGAACAGTGACGGTGACCTGCACTGGGTAATGACAATTTAACCTGATAATGGCAGATTGTCTTTCCAACCTTCATTCAGCGACACTTATTGTGAAGTGCATTAATTTCTCGGCGGTTATGAACAATTCCGACTACACCAAGGCAATATTATCACCAGAGCTCAGAACACCCGACGTCCACGCCGAGACGATGGCAGACATGGCACCATAGACCCCAGCTCTGGCCGCCGTGGACTACAGAGCAACCGATCAACAGCCTCACCCTGACTGCAACCTTGATGCGAGATACCATGGGGTGACCATATTGAGCCAAACACTAATACACTGAACAATTTGACACTCTGTGTTAGATAACAGAAGCAAACATAAGATGAAGCATGAAGAATATGCAAAGTCGTGAAATGAACCAACAAAGTATTGCTTGTAGTCTCAACAGAAGTCCCAAATGCCACTACAGTCGACATAATTCAGTAAATGAATTAATACATGTAGAAAAATATACAATGGAAATAAACCCGAACTTTCAAAGGAAAATTTTAAAAATGGAACAATTGCTTTAATGATAAATGAACTGAAGTAGAATCATATTGAATTACGATGCAGGCAAAGACTGGAGTTCAACAACATTCTTGAAGAAGACATTGGACAACCAGACAATCATACAGGATAAACTATAGATGGCTGAGATCATAGACAGAGTCCACGGGATGGGTCCAAGCACACCTGGTAAGAATATACCAACAGTTGCATGTACCCATGTGTCTGCACATGATAATCGTATAAAATCCAATGCCAACAAGCTGAGTGGTACCAACATTGTTATGTCAGACCAGTACCCTGGGGAAGTAGTGGTAGTTGGTACCTACATGCAGTCACGAAGATAGGTAAGACGGCTCACCTGCGGATAGACGAGCTAATCGTGAATGGGAGAAGGATATCCATAACGCAAGATGTACTGCCCGACCCGCTGTTCCCTGCTGCATATCATGGTGAGTTCCCTACACTGACCAGGAGCCAGAAAACTGGCATAGCATTCGTCAGAAGGTCTGTAAAACCTTCAAGGTTTAACTGTTCACGAGAAAGGTACACTGGATTTTACAAACCTGTTCAGAAGTAGAAGAAGAAGAGAAAGAAGAAGTAGTAGTAGGTTATAGTATTTTAGGCCTCCCGCCTACCTACAGAGTAAACAAAATATATAGTAACCTACACAATTTGATGTTACTTGTAGTATTGCATCAATTTGAATACATTATTTTTCAGCATGTTATTTCTTAAGAGTGTTGCATGCTTTAAGAAGAGTGAGAGGCGTACAATGTCGGTATCATATCTAGAGGTCATAAAAGAAGAAAATGCAGTTTCTGGTGGTTCACTTAAGTACCTGTTTGGTATATACAGAGTAGGGCATGTAGATACAAAGTGGATTTTATGCTCTATTCCTCTTTTACGTAATATAAACTTCCTTTCATTTTTATCATTCCATATTATTTTTACGGTAGATTTTGCATGCCAAAAGACGAGTTTTTTTCTGGGCAATCGCATCTCTGGAATCCCCATACTTCTGAACAATAGAACAAAATCGGTTGTATTTGAGAATTCAAAATTTTAAAACAGACATTAGAGGGAACATTGTTAAGTTTAGAACAAACAAGAAATATTTCAATCAAAGCCTTTTACAACGTACATACACTAAACACTATTCAGTTGAGTCTGTAGTCCAAGAGCGGAATCTGCGATGTGATAGTGTGGGTGAAGGCAAAACTGTCTTAGGATTATCGGAACACATTTAGCTCTGTGCAAGTTACTTACCACTTGAAGACTCTCGACCTCCTATCAATCAATCCGTATTCAGATCTGAAGGCCACATGGCCGTAGTACAAGTATATACAATGTTCAATAACAGTGTGTATCTCTCTTCATGACAGCATGATAAATAAACAGAACAATTATTCTAATTAACATACGGTTAGCAGTTGACAATAGCTAGTTCAATATGTGTTTTAACGGTTGTTTCGTAAAATAACTGGGTAGATATTTGCTTCTAATAGTACTATAATGATCATAATTAGCAGAACATGGTATTCGTCATCCAGGACATTAATTTACAGTATTAACACACAGTAGGTTTGTTATGAAAATTTCCCTTTTAACACCTTTAATCATAGCAAACGGGACAAACCTGGGATACCTCTATTCTTTCTTTCTAATATTGATATATTCACATATGAAGTTTTCTTTAAACA